CCCACAAGTGTCTTACGATTCCCACAAATCATTTTTAACGTAAGTTATCATCAGCTACGATTTCTCATTTATGTTCATCCGCAATTGTTTCATAAATTTAAAAAATGATTTTCAAAAATTATGGATCTACTCATTTTTCACAACAACTCTTCTCATTTAATTGAAAATAATAATTTTGTGATTAAGTAAAATAAGGAGATGTGTGTTGCATTTATATTTTCTCAGATTTTAATTTCTCTTCATCCAAACTGATGTCTCTCAGGAACTAGTGGTTGGAGGCCAATCAGACTGGGGCAGTAGCAAAGCCAGGAATTTTTTTTGATGCACTATTATCGAATTTTTTGATCATTGGCCATCAGAAATTATTCCGTTAATCTCCTGCCAATGGCCAAGACCACAATTTTCTTGTAGTTATACACATAGTTAACACTCTCCATAGAACAAATCTCTAGATATCCGGTCCCAACTACTCTTAAGGTTCTCTTTCTTTTAATTGATCACAAAATTTCATACTTCCGATGAACTCATTGCGCCTCACCGAACAGTGGGTCGAGTAAAACGAAATAATTGATAGATAATCGTTTATTTTATAATAATAAAAATAAGACTAAGACATACCAAATGAGAAGCGTAAGAACTTTTTTTTTAGAATTAGTATTGTATCGCATATCAAGAGAGCAAATGAAGAAAAAAATAAATAAATAAATACATGCTGAAAGCACTCTGTATTGCCTGTAAAAGCGTCCTAGTGTGATGAGAGAGAATCAAGTATCAAAAGAGCAATAATAAATCAAGTATGAGCCGATGAAAATGGAAGAAGCCTCTTGAAAAATTTGGGAAAATCAAATGAAATTTTGAATGTCATACTAGGACGCAAAAGACCACTACTCTAGCAAGGGTATACGACTAGAAGTATTAAAACAAAAAAAATATTTAACGTTAATTAAACAATTATATACGGTCCAAAATGAGTGGCCATATTTTTGAGACAGCAATTACCGGTCGCGCACTCGTCTTACATTATAACCATTATTTTCCATTTTATATTATTTAATTTGTATCCGTTGTATTTAAGACACCCTACACGCATATACTATATATATACATATATATATAGAAAAATATAAATAAATGGATTTGAAGTGAAAGAAGGATGATGCAAAAAAAAAATAGGTCGTGGAACAATTTCTCGAATAATTTCATTTTGTACAAATTTGTAACTTTAATTTTCATTAAATTGAGAGGACGATGGAAATCATGTGAAATTGACGTAGATAACACTGAAACATGTGGGTACTAATTAGAATTACGATGAAAATATGAATCAAGTGAATATGAGCAAGGAAAGGACTTTAATCCCAGTATAGCCGTTTTATTATTAAAGAAAGAATAATAATAATAATCATTGAAAAAAACTTCTTGTTGGCCATTCATTTGAACCTACTTTATGTCGTGATCACGAATTATTCATTGGTGCACTTTGTTTGTTAAAAAAAATGCATTGCAAGTGGTAATTTTGTCGTGTGGGACGTGAAAGTGGTGGAAATTGCCATTTTTTTGACAACTAATTTCCCTTGGAGAAGACTGGACGCGGAGTGACTGAGATTATGGCAATTAATGCTATTTCCAGTGAATGAAAAATGAACAAACAGGTAAAATTTCATGTGCACACATGACCGCAGGCGTCATATGTCTGAATGAAAGAAAAAAGACTATTCAAAGCTGATTGGGCTTTATAAAAATACGATAGTACTCTATTGATGCTATCGTCTACTCATGAGACTAAAAAATTGATATCATAATTATGTGTCATTTGATATAAACAACAAAAACAAAAACAATTAATCTGATGATTAAAGTGAATAAATTAATTAATAGTATGTATCATCGTTTTATACTAAAGAAAACTTGAATATAAAACGTACATTCGTGTACATTCCTAGGTATACACTCTAACATTTTCATACACATTTGCATAAAACATTAGCATTTTGAAATGAGTAAAATGGAAAAAAACAAATCGATAATGCTGAGAATGAACTACCGGATCACTGAGAATTCATGGAAACTTTCCTCATTCCATTTGATCATTAATCATTTGTGCAACATAATTTGCGTGTTTTCATCTCGACAATTTGTGTAATGATATACAAAAGTGAAAACAAAAATCTATTTATGTGTGAAGTTGGGGAAATTTAGCTTTCGTAGTTGAGTGGAATGAGAGGAAAATTAATTTATTGTTTTAAAAAAATATATATCGAGTGCTGCACCTGAATCAAAAACTCGTTTTTCACCAGTTATTCTAAAGAAATTGAAGAGAATGCAAATGTCTCTCGTTTCCCGCCCCTATTTCTCCATTAGAATGTCCGTAGGAATCACCCGGTCTCAGTTCCACTCGACTACCAAATAGTCTAATCATTTTGAGACTCTAAACTCTATTGTAACTTCTCAAACTACCGAAATTAAGATTTAGGAATAATATTGTGGTTTATTTTCCGCCGCAGGACTCCATCTGTCACCGATTAAAATTAGTATCTCGGAAATTTGATAGCGAGAGGAATAAAAAAATCGATGAAGATAACATTAAATGTTGAATGTACAAAATCCTTTGATAATTCCTTTGTATATTTTACTCCGATACGAAAATAGACAGAAAATAAAATGAACAGAAGATCACCGTAATGCAAACATCGTTGTAAGAAACGTTAAATTAGCCAAAGTTAGTGTTTTTCATTTTTAAGTAGTCGCAGTTATTTTCTAGCTACTTCCTGGAGAATTCCGAGCAATAAAATTCACTCAACACTATCATCACGAGTGATGATTATGAAATAATCCTGAACTGTTATGAATATTTTTTTAATTTTCAGCGGGGTATACATAAATCAATGAAAATTAATCGTGGTAAGTTGATAGACTAGGATTATCTTAGGAAAATAGAAATTTGAAGAAAATGTATACATACTAATGATATAAATAAAGAATATATATTGATGGAATACCGAGACCGCAATTAGAGATTTGGAGAAAATATAGGGGACAAAAATTACATGGAAATACATGCATGGAAATGACACTAATATTATTGTTCAGTGAAGTTGAGGGCTTGCATTTGAAGTGTGTAAATGGCTGTCGAGCTGAACGGATGATTGAAATGGGGTGAAATGAAAAGGGAAAACAAATATGATCAGTACGTGTAAATGTTTGTAAACAAATTATGAAACATTATTTGTTCAGTGCCTATATATTTACACAATAATAAATATGAAAAATAGTCAACCAAAAGTGAAGCTGAGTGGCAATTTTTTTATTCCTTTCCTTTTTAAGAGGAGGCATTTCAGGGAAGAAGTCTACCAATTTTCAAGTATTGACGACATCGGTAGCGAAGCTGTAAACCAGGTCAAGTCGATTTTGACTTTTGACCAGTTATTGATCAATATCTCGGAATCTAAGGGACATAGCAAAATTTTTCTCATGAACTTTTTTATAACCCTCAATTGGCTCTACAAAAAAGATTTTGACAAAAAAATTTCTATCTCTTTTAGATTCCGAGATATTCTTGAAAAACAGGGGAATAGTCAAAATCGACTTAAGGTGGAACAGAACCCCTGTGTCTATATGAACTCTTAGAATTTTCTCCGGCAATTATTGTATTTTAATTTATGAAACTACTTCATTGACTCAACAATGCAATTATCGAGTCGATAAAGTAATTTTATAGATATAGGCGAGGATGGGGTAAAATGGACACTTCTGACTTTTTAAAAAATATTCATAACTCAGAAACAGATTTATCAGTAGAGCTCAGTCTAAGCTTATCACAAAGAGAAATCATTGTTCTTTCTATTGAAAAATAAAATTATTCCATTTCCTGAACAATTCAACACGTCATGAACATTTCAAAAAAATTCAAAAGTGTCCATTTTACCCCACCCTCCCCTAAAGTAATAATTGCAGGGGAAAATACAATTCTAACGGCCATCGTTTTCTTGAAATTTTTAAACAAATTTCCTGCTCAAAATTATTAATATTTTTTCAACCCAAAGCACATTGATCTTCATCATCACGTCCTGGAGATTAATGTGCTTCGATTTTTTAAAATATCGATAACTTTCAGCAAGAAATTTGTTCAAAAATTTGGAAAATTAAGAGCATCCTGTTACCCCTTAACCCGGTTTACCGCTTCGCTGACATGTGAAAGTCAGTTTTTCGAAACAAAAAAAAATGAAATGAAATTTAACAATTTTTTTTTATTCTCAATTTTCTTTCCGCCTGATGAGGCCTGATTCAACCTTAATTGCACAATTCAGCCATGAGATATTGATAGCTTGAAAAAATTCTTCAGCTCACCGTCGCCGCGTCGGATTCTCCATTTTGTTCGTAGTTCGTCCTTCCCATTTATCCCGGAACCTCGTCCACTTCGACGATCCCAAAAGATAACCTTTTTCGCATGAGAATAAATTTCCACCAAAAAATGTCATTCAACATTTTCCCCCAAAATCACTCTTCCCACGGACTACCGAGTATTTGAGAATTGCAAGATCGTCCTGTCACATTACACTTCACCACTGAACATCACTCTCTCCCCTTCGAAACCCGTCCATTGTTTTCCGCAATTAACTCTCTTGCGATTGCACCTCACCGATGAATAAAAAAAACCCGACAAATAAGTCTCGGATTTATCAATTCCCCTCTATTAATCACGCATTGTTGAAGAATTTCGAACGGCGAGGCATAATACGCCCTCCATTAGGCCCCCGAGCTGCCCCGCAATGGCCAATGAGCACCAACTTCCCCCCCCACTCCTTCAACCCCTTCTACCATTCTGGACTCTCCTTGGGTACCATTTCTCGGAGATGCTCTTCTCAGTTCGCTCGGCAGCCCTCAGCCCCTCAGTTTTCATCGAAAAGTCGCAAAGTGAAAAAAGACCATCCCTCGAACGAGAATTGTCGAGAAATTTATACCAGTGAACTGAAATTTACTTCAAAAATATTTTCATTGTCTATCGCGTACCCAAACACCCGATGACAATTCAAATCGCCGATTATCACTAGTTCTTTGACGTTCGCCGGGGGAAGTTTGTGAAAGAAGCGACGAGAAGATAAACTACAGGACTAGTTGCGGAGAGAAATTAAAATGAAGCTCTACCGTGCCGGTAAATTAATCTTCACTGACGAGATGAATGTCGAGCACCTGATGCCGGACTTCACAAATTCACTGTACCCCCTCAACATGAGCCTCGAGGACGAGATCAAACGTCTCTTCGACTTCAGAATCGAGAATTGCCAATGGCTGCGTCCAAAGCCCTCATGTAAGTCACCAAATTTTCTACTTCAGCTGATTTTTCTTCCACCCTTTCCTCGTCCTACTAATTTATTCACAAATTCACTAAAAATGTTCGCGACGGAATCTCTTTGAGTGTTGATTACATTCTTTCACTTGAAACATGAGTTAAACCCCTCCAGAGATGAACTGAAATTGCCTCCCACCGGTGTTTGATTTAATCAACTCGACACTTTACTTTGTTTTCACCGATTCTTCACGTCACACTACGGTTTTCCCAGTGGAAATTGTGTCAATTGTTCGGGATTAGGACGTGTCTTTAATAAGTCTCGAAGAGGCATTTCCGCATTCAAAGTGCATTTATTTTTCCTCTCGCTGCCGGTGATGTGACCGTTCAGCCGCGTAGACTCTTATCACGCCGGTCTCGGGTTTCCATTTCTCTGACGGACGATATCCGGTGGATTTTTTTTAGCGAGAGGATTCCTCACCGCGCAATTGCCTTATTTTTCGCAATGGACCCCGTCTCTTCATTTCATTTTTGGGAATTCGGCCGCGAGGCGGCGATTCACGGACGCGTAGCGAACAAAAAATATTGTTCGTCGTAGGGTAAACAGGTCGATTTCTAGACGGGGGTCAGTTTCTGGACGATTTCAACTTGCATTGAATATTCCACAAATAAAATGAAAATTGTGTTAATTACACTGTTGGAAAATTACTCTTGAAATTTCAAGTAAAAAATCTTGACATTTTTAACAATGAATAATTTACGTGGAATTTCCTTTGATGTTGTTATCGGTAAATCAGTCAATTTTCTTGAATATTCAATGAAATTTGATTTTTCAGGTTCGTAAGACAATGAAAATTACTGAAAATCGTGAAATTCAGGCAATTTTTCCTCTGAATTTTCAATTTCGTGAAAATTCAATTGACTGTAATGCTAAATCGAAATTGTCATTGAAAATTCAATGATCATTCATCATAAAAACTTAATTTTATTGAATTTCCAAGATGAATCAGGAATTTCACGCGCAATTTAGTCTGAAATTGAATTCAAGTTCCGAATACGGAAAATTCAAATGCATCTGTTAGTTAAATTTCAAAAAAAATTTAACAGTGTATTTAACCTCTCCATAATATCGCTTGTGTATAATCATGTGATCAATTATTTTCTTCTATTGATCAACATTTAATAAATAAATAAAAAATATGATCCAGTCGTCCAGAAATTGGGGGTTTCGGCTTCATTAAACTATTTCTCAATTTAATTATCCTTTGTTTTGTTATTTTCACTTTAAACAATTTTTTTTTGCTAATTAAAACATTCGTGAAGGTATGGAAGCCATCATATCCCCATTTAGGGGATTCTATTATTTTAGATCCTACCACGAAACTCGAATTTCCTTAACCGTCCAGCAATTGGCCTGGTCACCCCACGGCCTAAAATAAATTTTCTAGCGCACATGATTGCCACCCTCGCCTTCGGCTCGGGCTGCCCTGATAGAGAGGATTAGTTATTGTTAACAAATGGATTTGGTTGAAGCCCAGGGCCTATTTCGTCTCACCAGATGTTCATTCGTTAAGGGGTAGAATGCCCTTAATTTTCTAAATTTTTGAACAAATTTCCTGCTGAAAGTTATCAATATTTTAATTTGGTTTTGGCTTTCTCCTGCAATTATTCATTGACTCAACAATGCGATAATCGAGTCGATAAAGTAATTTCATAGATAGAAATTAATAATTGTAAGAGAAAAATCAATTCTAAGATTCGATGTAGACAAAGGGGTTGCGTCTCCCCTTAAGTCAATTTAGTCTTTACTTGAGTTTTCCAAAGATATTTCCGAATTTAAGGAAGTTGGCAAAATTTTCATAATAACCTTTTTTGTAGAGCGAATGGAGTGCTACTAAAAGGTTTGTGCGAAAAATTTTGCTATCTCCATTAGATTTCGAGATATTCATTGAAAACTGGCCAACAGCCAAAATCTCCTTAAACCGTTTGACCACTTCGCTACCGATTTGTCCACCCCTAGATTCGCCTAAGCCAAATCTTCCGCTGTCGAATCTTCCGCTAGTTTCAGCTTCACGGGTTTGAATGAAAGTTCATGTTGTTCCTTTAATAAAACTCACAATATCTTCGAGACTAGTCCGTCCATAAAAAAAAAAAAAAATATTTCTGTAGCCCGCAAAATTCCCGACGAAAAATATTTTTTGACATTTCCATTGCAAATTTTATTAGCAGTGAACCGAACTGTTTTTATTCTCAAATTATATTTTACTTCAAAAATATGTAGCTAATTGAAATTTCAATGGGAAAACCGAATTAATTGAATAACAGTAATTTTCCCTCGGTGGTTTCCCATTGCAAATTTTATCAGCAATGAACCGAACTGTTTTTATTCTCAAATTATATTTTACTTCAAAAATATGTAGCTAATTGAAATTTCAATGGGAAAACCGAATTAATTGAATAACAGTAATTTTCCCTCGGTGGTTTCCCATTGCAAATTTTATCAGCAATGAACCGAACTGTTTTTATTCTCAAATTATATTTTACTTCAAAAATATGTAGCTAATTGAAATTTCAATGGGAAAACCGAATTAATTGAATAACAGTAATTTTCCCTCGGTGGTTTCCCATTGCAAATTTTATCAGCAATGAACCGAACTGTTTTTATTCTCAAATTATATTTTACTTCAAAAATATGTAGCTAATTGAAATTTCAATGGCAAAACCGAATTAATTGAATAACGGTAATTTTCCCTCGGTGTTGCCGAGAAATTCGGAATGCCCCAAGAATTCCATTTAAGAAAATCAACATTCCAGTGTATTAAACGCTTTTACACTTTTGACAGTTGAAATATTTATTTTTCGGGCAACGAAACACAACACAAGCTCTCAAAGGCCATCTTTGTTTTCCCCGAGAAATTCTCTTCGTTTCAAATTTCTCGAAAAGTCCGTGCTGTTCTCTGCGCCCATAAATATCAAGGAAATACCAAAAGAAATGAAAGGAAAGATGGAAAAAATGCGTTCAATCTTGACGCCTCGTGTCTGGCCCTCGCACCCCCCCCCCCCCTTTTTTTTTTTTTTTTTTCCTCGACACATGAAGTTTTACACAAAGAAAGGGGAAAATGGGGATTAGTCCTCTTGAAAAAAATTGAGGAAAGGCTTTCTCGGATTTTAGCATTTCACAATGCGTTCCCCAAATGCATGGAAATTTATTGCTCACTTGAACCACATCTGCAATAGCTCAGCGACGACACGCGTTGAGGTGTCTCTGGTACTCTGAAAGTCGACAAAAAAAAGTGGAAAAAGACCTTTCCGGCCGCTTTCCTCCCCCGATAAAGGGACAAGGCACACGCGGGGGGACGGAGAGAGAAATGCTGAGCGGTATTTTTTTTTCTGCACAAGAGGACATTCAGACCCGCTACGTTTGTTTATAAACTGAAATCCCGAGACTAGAGAAGTTATTGGGCTCACGCTGGGTTGTGGGTCTTTGGACGTTTCAATACATCAAATAAAATGTCAAATATCAGCGGAATAAAATGTCCAACGGAAATACGAGAGAATTTAGATTACGATTTTTATGGCGTTACACGATTAGTAAATTCTTTTTACTCTGAACGTAAATGGTTTCATGTTTTGGGAGATGAAGGAATGTTGCATTTTCACACAAAATATTGCATTTTTTAGGAGTAAAATATCTCGTTTGTTGAATATAACATTGCAAATTGTGAAAAATCTCCAGTTGTTATCATCGCCGCAGCTTTCTAAAGAAAAATAAATGAAACTTACCTTTCGATTAAAAGACGATGTGAAATTTTTAGTTGAAGAATAAAACGCGTCCCTTTAGAACTGAAAAAGAAAAAGTGAATTAGATATTCCTCAATCAAAAAAATCGTAACTCGATTCCACGAAAAATTGTAAAACAAGTTTTTTGCACAAAAAAATTCTGCAAAAAAGTTCAATCCTTATTCGGTTTACAGTGATTTGTGAGATCGAAGGGTGTATTCACAAAAATGTAGGAAATCTTCTAAAAAAGAAAAAAAAATCGCCAAGAACGGGTGTTGTTGCGTTTACAAAAATCAAAAATACAGAAGACACTGTCTTGCTTTTACAAAAATATGTGAAATCTCTGTAGTGCCAAGTACAGATTGATGAAGCGTAAAGATTATGACGCAACTCATATAAAACTGAAGAAATAATAACAATCATGAGAATGATATTAAAAATTTTTATCATCTCAAATTTGGAATTTCAGTTCCATGATTTTCATAATTTTTTCAGTTTTATGAGCTGCGTCGTAATCGTTCGTCTTTATTAATCTCTGCTTGGCACTACGGTTTGTCCGGTTTAACAACTTTTTCTAAACAGACCAACGGTCGCACTCGTTCGGGGCGAGTATTTTTTCACAAAAGACCTTTGTTTTTTTGGGAATAGATATTCCCCAATCAAAAAATCCGTAATTCGATATTTTCTGCACCCACAGCTCAGCAATGTACTCACAAATATGGATAGCATTGTTTATAAAATACCTCTCTCCTTCGACAAAGATGTAACTTTTTTCCCGCAAATTTCCCAGAACCCTGTGTACGAATTCACAGAAATGAAGCGTCGCGCGGTGCCCGATCAAAGCGCACGGCGAAGAAAAGGGAGTAGGGGATTAACGCAGCTCGGTTTGTTTACATTCTTCGTCGAGGCCTCATTCGCCACTACACCTTATTGAGTGGCCGGGTCGCGTCCATTTTGCTGTGCTTAGATTTAATGACAGGGGAGTTTTGTTTACATTAGCGCGTTCTACTCTGTTGGATACGAATTTATTCTCCACTCCGACATGAATATTTTTTTCTTGATTTTTTTTTTCGTTTAGAATTTGTCTTTTGGTATCGCATTCTTGTTTTATAAATATAGAATCGGCGTGATCTGAGGAATATTCACGGGAATTTTGAAGAGATTATTTCGTTACCTGTAAGATTTTTTTAGCGAATGGTTTTTTCAATTAATTTTGATTTTAATAATTACAAAAATTTATGTATTTTTCTACATTCCTATGAAAATCGTCCCAGTGATCGAACCTTAGATCATTAATTCTGCTGCGCCGAAATAATAAAGGAATTTATGCACTTTTGCATAAACATTCACGAGGGAAAGGCAGAAATGACTGTCATGAGAAAAATCATCAGCAATAAAATTAAGGGGAGACTACTATGAGTTTTAAAAGTCGTGGGATATCGAATTGAGATTTCTCATACATTGACGATGGATTATATGTCTGAAAACGAATAATTAGTGTAAAAAATTAATTGTTTATTGTTAAAAATAGTCCAGGGTCTCCAATTTTTCAGCTGCATAGGTTTCTTCTTTCAAGATTTTTCAAAAAATATGTGCAACAACGATTATGAATTTTTTTTTTTGAAATTCAGCTCCTAAACAAATAACTTAGTTATTTTCTGAATGAAAAATTGCACCATTCATGTAAAATAGCCCGAAAAATGTTTTTGAACGAATCGAGAATATATTTTAAATATTTTTAGGATAATTTTTCTTCCTATTTTACATTAACAATAAACAATGATTTTTTTTGCACTGATGATTCATTTTTGAACATGTAATCGATCTTCAATGAATGAGAAACCTCACTCCAACCGCCCCCGACTTAAAAATTCCCTCTACAAATTTTAATAATTTCACTTTAACATATTTCATGTGGCAATCAGCTGAGGAAATCATGGATGACTTCAGACGCAACGGCAGAGACTTCGAGTACTGCCCAGAATTGGAGAGGGGGGAAGTCCCTCCACACAACAATCGTCGCAAAAAGTCCAAGAGGCCAATGCCGACAGAGTGCGTATTCTGCAGGAATAACGGAGAACAGGAGTCCTACTACAAGAGCCACCTCCTCAAGGACGTTAATGGCAAGACGACCTGCCCTGTTCTGAAGTAATTATCTTCCTCATCATGAGAATTGGAATGTCAACAGCCAATCATTCCTTAATCATTCATTAAACATTATTAAACGCCATCCTATTTTTGTTCTTATTTCAGAGCCTACACTTGCCCTATCTGTGGTGCTCACGGGGAGGACTCCCACACCGTCAAGTACTGTCCTTTGAACAAGAACGGAGAGCTAATGCCAACATTCAACACCATGAAGCCCCTGAGGAACTCCACAGGCAAGCGTCGTTACAGTAAATAAACAAAAACGACTTTTTTACAATTCTAACGACGATGACCTCTCCCCAAAGTTTAACCAAAAACCTTACGAGATCATGACGTACATACCCAAAGAGTCTAAAGCTTCTGGTAAGCTCTTATCATGCGTTGATACTTAAAAAAAAAATAGTGTTAGAGAGATAACCAGAGAAATGTTGAGTATACATCATGTTTTTTTGATACAAGATTTTACAAAGTGCTGTTCTCCACGTTAATTTTGGATTCTTCATCTAATCTTAACTAATTATGAGTTTAAGAATTTTAGTATGTAATGATGAGGTAATTGGTCGATGATGAAAACAGCCCCGATGGCTTGCCAATCTAAGAAAATTATGATTTTCTTATCAGACTCAATGTTTACAGAGAACATTAATTAATTGTGTGAGTAATTTTATCATTAATTCGGTATTCATTAAATAGGAATTCTTCGAGGGTGATTAATGACTTAAATTAAGACATTCTGGTAATTATATTCAATCCTTCGTGGATTTTACAGTAGTTTTAGGATTAACAAGCGTGGACTCCTCGAGGGATATTAGTATGTGTACTACATTACATTTTTTGATATAATTAAGAGATTAGGATTGAAGGAGAAAATTGAGAAAGATTTTGAGGATTAATGAATGTAATTTTTATTCCACTAGCGTCAGGTTTCAGTTTTCTCTCGTGTCATTATACATTTGTGGCTTTTCCGGCGATACCATAATTTATCTTTTCTGCCTCATCAGCATCCGGAATATTAAATAAATAAGCTCTGATAGCGATACTTTTTTACTTTAATATCTGGTGTGATGAAGGCGAAAATTGTCATGTTTTTTACTAGATTGAGAATTCAAATTTTTTACAGTTTATTGTGCAAAAAAATCCAGATGAACTTTTGCCATCTTTTCAAGTCAAATTTTGCATATTTTTATTCCACTTGGTGTACATTAGAGTGGCTGAATGTTCAATAATGTTCTAGCCTTATTGTTTGGACTATTCAGCGGACTTTGATTGCAATTGGATGAAAATAGTGATTTTTCATTTGGGAAAATGGCAAGTGCAGCAGGAAGAAGAACAAAATAATGCAATTTCTTTTTCTTTTTTCGCCTTGCAATCATGAACGACTAGATTAATAAAATACTACAGGTATATCTTTAGTACAAAAAACGTACCCAGTACAAATTAAGTTTAATTGAAAAATACACTTAATTTTTTTTTCGTAAGATTTATTTGAATGGAATGTATTTCACGTCAAAAGACAGCGGGGGTGGCTCACACGAAATAATTAACAGTAAGGTTATCCGGTCCCCGTTTTGAATTGTCCATTATCAACTGCGAAATATCAATAAATAATACTCTTCATATTTTGGCGATAAAATTTAATTCAGAAAATGAATTTACACATTTTTTTTATGCAATTGTACAAACTCAATTTATTCACAATACTTTACATTTATTCTTCTTTATCACGTCTAAATTACTTTACTAATTAATCGATGAATTGACGAATTATTGACGTGAATAAAAAGAAAAATGGATTGATTATTAATGATGGTGAAACAGTTATGAAAAATCAATCCTTTATTTTTACGAGCTCTAAATTGTTGTTTCGACGCTCCAGTTGCTTCACGTATCTTATGTATAGTTTTTAATTTTGTTTTTTTCAATTGCAAATACGAATTTATCATCCTCTGCGATGATAATTATTATAATCAGGATGAAATGCCGCCCGCCGTACACTCATTAATTCAATTGTATCACTGCGTATTATTAGTATCTATGGTTTAATCAATTAAATGTAATAATATTTTGTAACGGTGTTTTTTAATACAGCACAAATGCAACACAGAATCAATTCGTCTCTTTTTATTTCGTCTCTCAAATTGAAAGATTTATCGAATTTTTTGTTGTCATAAAACGAGTGTGAAGTGCAGTTTTACTATCGCTGTGGATGATCGACTTCTGAATTATTGAATTTTCGCGTGACACGAACACACTATTCAATCGTTTGACATTTTACTCCCCCGTTTAATCGCATCCCAATCTCTTTCTGCATCAGATGCAGCATTGACCCACATGTCGTTGCAAATAGTTTCTCCGAAAAATTCATCAGAATTTATCCAGAGAATTGTTCATTAATTGTACTTGAGTTTAAATCAATTGATTCAACTTGTAACTGTCGAAAAAATTTTGAAAAGGGTTTGACTATTCTAGTTCGATATCTATTATTTCGCCGGCAATTCCAAAAATTTCTATGGTAATTCCCCACCGAAATTAGTGGTCAAGCACTCGGAACTCACTATTACGCAATGTATTGCCACTTTTCCTGTCACCTCTTCGAAAAAGTGGGTCACAACAGTTTTATAACATGATTATGAAAAAAAACCCATAGATCAGGTTTTTATGACTCATAGCGCGGGGTCATTAGTCATGACCGCTTTCATCTGAAATAGGAAAATGGAAAATAGATGAATCGCATCATGCAATGGATTAAATAGTCATTTAAATGTTGCTGTTGAGCATTGAGAGGATAAATGACTACAATGGAATCAATTAATTATTAATTTTATTTAATTAACCTGCTATTCACTGCCACCCCGACATGACACAGCAAATAGACATGAATAAATTTCTTGATAAATTTTTGATGATTAACGAACAATAGAAAAATGGTTACGCCAGTTAACCATCAAACGATTGATCGCTGACTCGTAACGAAGCCACTGTTGTTGACCTGTTCCTGCTTAGCACCAGTGTAGTGTCCACTGTTTCTCTTGACACCTACATCCTGGCTACATAAATGAGTCCCCACTCGCAATTCTCTCATTCTGGTATTTTTCATCAATCAAAACGGATCTCCAGGAGAGGAGCTTAGCCAGCATGCGTTACACACTGGCCATCATTTCGCTGCTGCTGATATCAGGCGTTTTTGGAAGTTCTGGGAAACGGAGTGAGTACGTTTCGTTCCCATCTTCCGGGTGGAGAGCGCCCGGAGTGCCTTGGAGATGGCCCAACGACGCTAGGAAAATTGGGAGATTCGATCAGCCCCATATATTTCATCTGCTGAAGCATAAAATTAAAATTCAAGTCGTCGACAAGATTCCTACGACAACAGCGGCGCCGTCTGATTGTGTTTGTGTGCCTTATTACCAGTGTGATAATAATAATACGATTATTACAAATGGAGTTGGACTCATCGATATCAGGTATACTCTTTTATGAAAAACATTATTTCAGTAGAGAAGTGGTAAAACGGTTCAAGTCAATTTTACATTTGCTAATTAAATTTAAATTTAATATCAAATTTTTTAATTAAATTTTCATTACATTTTTCCAATTTAATTATAAATAAAAATAATTTAAATTTAATATTAAAATTAAATTAAAATTAAATTTTACTATTTTCTAGTTTTCAATGAATATCTCGGAATCTAAGAGAGATAGCAAAATTTTAGTTGTAACCTTTTTTGTAGAGCCGATTGAGAGCTACAACAACTGTAATTACGAAAATTTCGCCATCTCCCTTAAATTCGGAAATATTCCTCAAAAACCCCACTGAGAGATAAGTCGACTTGAACCGTTTTACTAGACTAGATTTTCGTAATTGTTTCACTAAAAAATGAGTAAACAATGATGATTAATCTTCTGTTACGGATGAATGATTGAATCGAATGAGCAGAGTGGGCATTTTCAACTCGACTCCCTCAGTCAAGTTGAAAATGCCGAGTCGATGAAAAAAAAAGTCAATTATTAAAGTTCACCAATTTCTGTTTCAGAATTCGTCGATGTACAGGTGATCTCGAGGTCTGCTGCAGGCCCCCTAGAACAACTAGAATGCCCTCATCAATGCAACCAATAGTAACCCCAACCATGCCCCCTACTATGCCACCCACTATGCCCCCTACTATGCCTCCAACAATGCCCCCCACTCTCCCCCCAACTATTCCACCCACTATGCCTCCAACATCTCCACCGACAATTCCTACAACTCAACCCCCTACGTGCCCCCCATCACCCCCTACTGTTCCAACATCACCTCCAACTCAACCACCCACTCTTCCCCCTACGTTACCACCAACCTCTGCCCCAACACTTCCTCCTTTCCCTACCCTCCCCCCAAACTGCATATGTGCATTCCCCAATCAGTGCGACGCAAACGGCGTCCTCATAGTCTCTGGAGAAGGAATAATCAACCCCAGACAGACTCAGTACCCCTGCGGGGCAAACATGATCTGCTGTCGGTTGCCAATAAATTCTGTCGTCTTTCCAATGCCCCCAAGAGCCACAGCCCCACCTCCAGTCACGGAGACGTGCATCTGCGTGAAAATCACTTACGGCGAAAACAGCTACATCGTCTCTGGTGCAGGCAACATCAGCCCAAGGTTCCCAGGAGCTAGACAGAGTCAAACACTCAATATCTGTGCAGCAGACGAAGTGTGCAGCCAGTTCCCACCCAACGGTCAGGACTCCTCAGCCACCTCGAGCTTCCCAATCACAGCAGGCCCTCCCATCGAATACCCTGGAGTCCCTCCATTCGATCCCAGAATCAACGTTACTGGAGTCATCAGAAATCCCGGGACCCCTCAGCAGTGCATGTGTGTCAAATCGTCGATCTGCGATCCAGACTTCGTCGTCACCATCGATGGGGCTGGCATCATTGATCCCAGATTCGGATTGTGCATGGTTTCTGATCAAGTCTGCTGTCGGTCCGTGGGGATTATCAGCAACAGGGGAGGAACCAGTGAGGTTTCAGGGGACGCTGCAACGTATATTGTTAATTACCCTCTGCCCAATTATGGAAACGTTGTTTGTGGAGTTAGGGGCTCTGTGTGCTCTCCAGGTAATTATCGTTAGGGTTTTATTCAGTAGGGAATTGACGAATGAAGTGAGGAATTTTGCAGTCTCTCTTCCATTGGGACGTACGATGCAGATATTTTCAGAGGGATGTGGCTCATTTGTTTTTCGTTATTCATTGTAATAAAAAACGTCGATAATATTTTTCATTCAATATTCAGAAATAAAAGGATTGCTTAGGGGAGACTGGGGCAAAATAGAACAGTCGAAAAATAACTGTTTAAGGCATTTCAAGTAAAAAAAATTTTACAAAAAATTATTAACTTTATTATTAACTTGTTTCATTATGTGGAGTACTCATGAGAATAATAATTATCTATTCGTTCGTTAATTCAATTGATTAGCTTAGGCCGATTACACTCTCCTCTGTTCATTCAATTGAACATCAGGATCACATTTTCCTTTTCCCCCCTTTGTGTTTCCCCCTGAGTCTTCCTCGGGACTTTGGATTTTGCGATTTCATTTTGTTTTCAATTAATCCATTGACAAAATCTTCTCCCGTCGAAACTTCTCAATAACTTTTAATTCCACTGAATAGAAAATTATTATTCTCATTAGTACTCTCAAGAATAACAAAGTTAATGAACAAAAGTTAGAGAAAAAAATGTTTAACAAAAAAAAAATTTTTTGCTTGAATTGAGTCAAACAATTATTTTTCGAGTAGTTCATTTTGCCCCGCTGTTGCATTTTGCCCCACGCACCCCTATAAAACCGCAATAATGAAATTTGTGTCTATAATTCCATTACAAACGCTCAGTGATTTCCGCCTTTCCAGGGATGTGTACAGCTTCTTCTGGAAATACCAGTTTTGGTGAATTTCCTTGGATGGTTGCACTTCTCGGCAGAGACCCCGGTGGATCGAGTGTTTTCCTGTGCGGAGCATCGATGATTAATTCTCGGGCTGTCTTGACCGCTGCCCATTGCGTCTTGAAGTGAGTCCAGCTTATTCTCACTTGATTCATTATGAACAATGCAATTAATCCTATTCAACTGCGGTTTTATGCAGTCGCAAGCCGGGTCTTTTGGTGGCTCGTTTCGGCGAATGGAACACAGCGAACAACGACGAGCCTTCGCCATTCCAAGAAGCTGATGTGCAGTCGATCGTTACACACCCCAATTACTACTCTGGGGGATTATACCACGATGTTGCTGTTTTAATCCTTGCAACTCCTGTTAACTACGCAATGAATGTACTGCCTGTATGTCTACCTCAACAAGCCGTTCTTTTTATGCCTGGAACGAGATGTCTAGCCTCTGGCTGGGGCAGAAGTGGTTTCGGTTCGTATATCGCATTTTGTAAAAAAAAGTCTTTTTATTCTCAAATTTGATGTAAAAATTACAGGTTTTTTAAATTAATTTTCTTCATTTTCATGTATATAAAAAAAAGAATACTAAAACTGCACTGAAAACAGTAAAAAAACAATTGTATTATGAACGCAGATCTTCCCATCAATTTGCTGCGACTTTTTGATTTTTCATAATAATTTAAAAAACGAGAAAAATACAAACGTCAAAAAAGTCTTTTTATTTTAACATTTGATGTAAAAATTAGTTTTTTAAATTAATTTTCTTCATTTTCATGTATATAAAAAAAAGAATACTAAAACTGCACTGAAACAGTAAAAAAACAATTGTATTATGAACGCAGATCTTCCCGTCAATTTGCTGTGACTTTTTGATTTTTCATAATAATTTAAAAAACGAGAAAAATACAAACGTCAAAAAAGTCTTTTTATTTTAACATTTGATGTAAAAATTAGTTTTTTAAATTAATTTTCTTCATTTTCATGTATATAAAAAAAAGAATACTAAAACTGCACTGAAACAGTAAAAAAACAATTGTATTATGAACGCAGATCTTCCCGTCAATTTGCTGTGACTTTTTGATTTTTCATAATAATTTAAAAAACGAGAAAAATACAAACGTCAAAAAAGTCTTTTTATTTTAACATTTGATGTAAAAATTAGTTTTTTAAATTAATTTTCTTCATTTTCATGTATATAAAAAAAAGAATACTAAAACTGCACTGAAACAGTAAAAAAACAATTGTATTATGAACGCAGATCTTCCCGTCAATTTGCTGTGACTTTTTGATTTTTCATAATAATTTAAAAAACGAGAAAAATACAAACGTCAAAAAAGTCTTTTTATTTTAACATTTGATGTAAAAATTAGTTTTTTAAATTAATTTTCTTCATTTTCATGTATATAAAAAAAAGAATACTAAAACTGCACTGAAAACATAAAAAACGGAAAACAATACAAACGTAAAATTTTTCATTCACTTATAGCATTCTGTTATTTTATTGCATAAAAAATGTATTTCATGAAAAAGTTTTAAGTTTTTCAGTTGTTTATTCATTTTTATTTTTTTATTTTTCTTTAGCTTATGTAACAATCGAAAAAACCGATTCACCATAATGATTTTCTTTTGAATTTTCTAGAGGGGCAGTACCAGACTATACTGAAGAAAGTAGATTTACCCTTAGTGGAAAGACAAGAATGCCAGGCGCGCTTGAGGGCTACGAAGCTCGGGCAGTACTTCCAACTGCACAAGAGCTTCAGATGCGCCGGTGGAGAGGCCAGTAAAGACACTTGCACTGGAGATGGCGGGGGTCCTCTAGTTTGCCCGACATCTACGGGACAATTTATTCAAGTACGTAAATCCGTACCAAAAAGAAAAATAGATAAATTCGTTCAAGAATTACCGTTTCGTTATATAAAGTTATATGATATTTGAAATTTCATAATGAAGAATATCAAGTCAGAAGTCAAAAATATTGACTATGAATTCTCAAGTTTTGGTATTTTTCACTCAAAAAAATTCATTCTGTATTCTCCATTTGTATTTTTTCCTTTTTTTTTTTTACAAAAAAATTAATTCTATATTCTTCATTTGTATTTTTTCCTCGCGTATTACTGGTTCAACTACAGACTGAAATCAACACGATGACATTGAGACTATTAAGACGCGTATACTTTTGTAGCATAACTAATAACTGTGGAAAACCCACGTCACCCTGTCTAATAAATAAAACTAATCCTTTTCATTTTTTTTCAAACCTGAAGGTGGGAATTACCTCTTGGGGAATTGGTTGTGGCCAGAGCAACGTGCCAGCAGTCTACGTCGATGTGATTCAGCATCGTCAGTGGATTGAGCAACAACTCGCTAATTACGGTGTTTCTTGATGCTAAAGATAATAGTGGAACTGTCCACTAATCCCCCAAATTAAATTAAACGAATAGAAAAAAACCTTTCGAGGCTGTCTCCAGGTTTCAATTACATCAATGAGACATGTGTCATGTTCAAGCTGACGAAAACTTCGTTCAACTGGTCTTACATAATCGAGTCAAAAGTCAGCCAAGATAAAACAAATCTCACGCTCTCCATGTAATCATTAATGAAAAGAAAAACTAGCTGTTGGAAATCGTTGTAAATATAGGACACAAACAGAGATTATCTTTCACTGAAGGGAAGTTCAAGCACAGTTTATATTTTCATAGAAACATTTGCCATTTTATTGAGTAGACTAGGCTATTTATGCTTTCTTCCTGCATCAGGATCTTCGAAATGTGAAACCAAACGATTGAATGGGATTCGATTATTCACGAATGAAAGCATTACAATAATAAACAGAACAAATTGATAAAAGTGTTTGAGGAAAGACAGTTAGTTTCCTGGAACTTAATCAGTCTTCGCACATCGAGGAAATAAAGTATTATAAAGCGTTGGCACGGCTATAATTGTGCATTCAACAGAAATCATTAACCCATTTGGAATTGTTCGTGTGAATAATTAATTATATCTGGCATGAAAAATAAATACCTCTATTCAAGTTGAGGTCTCTTGTCATTACCTCTAGCCATTCGCGTCATTCATCTCGGCGATAAAATCCTCCGAAAAAATCCTGATCAGTGTCTCTCGTCTGCGAAAAAAATTCAACACTCATTAATTTAACGAAAAGTTTCCAATTAAAGTTGAAGGAGATTTGCATTAGATTCTAGATTTGTCCTCAGCCCACAAATTTGTCGAAAATGAGGACTTGGATTTCTCAATCTCGTTGTCTCAAGGTTACAGATGATTTAAATTTGAGGTGGAGGTGGAGGTGTCATTCGAAAATTTTCTACACGAGTTGGGTTGTCATTGGGACATCAGGGAACTCGTTCCCGGTATTTCTGAGGGTCGTTGAAATCGAAAGCGAATCATGCGCTTCGGGGATTCCCAAACGCGTGGTATGTAACTGATAATATTTTTAGTGATGTTTATAATTACAACAACACAAATGTAATTTGTATGTAAATAACATTTCTGCAGGACAATAATTGCGAAAACTCTTGCTTTTTTATTTCTGTTAATCCCCAATTTACTATATTTTTTCTCCTCTCATAGTTACGTTTTTATGATATGAAACGAGACTTTGAGGTGTCCAGCCCTTAAAAATGGAGCCAAAATTACTCAGTCATATTTAAATTATTTGACCCTCATTAATGGTTTTGTTCATCGTCTTTTCATTTTTCAGTTGCAACTTTACATTTGAGGGAAACATTGCGCCTCAGGAAAAATGTTTCCCCAAGTTTTTCTTTTAATCTACAGATTTACGACGTATTTTTACGTTGCCGATGTCAAAGGTATCGTCGAGATAATTGTGGACCAGAATTAGGGAGATAATGACCTACAGCATGTGCAATCAAGTGGATTCTGTTCTCAATGATGTCGAAAGTCCCACGAAAGCCAAAGTGGGGAGTAGCATGAAATTATGACCGGAGTAGGGACGACCAGTAGTGAATACTCGAGGATCGCCAACACCAGTCAGGGTCGTGTTAATCGCGCGTCGTCATTCCAACAAGAAGGTGATCGTCTCGAGCTCAAGCACATCAGGTTTTACAGTGAGTTGTGTTCAGCAATCGAACTATTCTCAATTCTTTCTGTCGCTTCGAAACAATAGTACTTATTCCTATTTATTGTTCCCGCTTCCATGATAATATTGACTCACGAAATTTTTCTAAAATATATTAAACTGTGCAATTCTATTTTTCGATGTGACCATTCATTTCATTTCTTGTTTATCGGCTTCTGTGACTCAACGAAAATATGTAATCACATACTCTCGAGATTATATTTTATTCATACGTCTTCAAGATCTCAGAAATAATTGTAGTGGGTGATCGATTCATTCTTAATGTGCAGCTGACGTAATATTTTTTTCTCCTTTTTTAACAAACAACGAAGAATTGCGACTTTTTGCAAGAATTTTTCCTGCATTTTATCAAATTGACATGGAAAACATTACGTTGAAGTTTTTCACTACATGATTCTATTTACTTAAAGACAATGTTTATGTTTCCTGCTTGAGGCATCCACAGGTGATAAACTAAATCCTTATATTTTATTCATACGTCTTCAAAATCTCAAACATAATTCTAATGGATGACCTATGGAACAACGAAAAATTACGACTTTTTGTAATAATTTTAGTCACATTTTATCAGCTCAGCAGGTAAAAAATAAGTTTATAACTACATGATTTTATTTATACAGCGGCAATGTTTATGTTTCCTACCTGGAGCATCCGTAAGTGATAAAATAAATGTCAGACCAGTCTAAAGTGATAAAGAAAGGATAATCCACGTGTTCAATTTATTTTTTTAATGAACTTCGATATTTAGAGATGCTCAGCAATGCTAAAATTATCAATGTTCCATGAATCCCCTGGAATGAAAAATAATTAAAAACTGTTGTCCTATGCAAATCGAAAGTTCAGCATCATGTGACATTCATTAAAAGATGCCAACGATAATCATTATTGACTCCTGAATTTTCCGTCCGTCAATTAAATACCTGACTTTTTTTAACGTTTTCGGAATTTAAGTGAACCAGACAATTGGGGAACTACGTCTATTGATGTATTTGTATTCACAATAATAGACCGTGAGTCATCCGAAGATTCAGATGATTTCTGGAATCATTGAATAGTACTCTGTGATTGTACACACTCGGGAATTCCTTGACGTCACAAATTAACACATAGCAGGGGACTCCTTGAAACGTACAGGCGAGTTAAGGTCACTATTTGCTTTCTAATAATCATTAATCCTATGACTGGCAAAACCCAAATATTTATTCCATTGAGACCAATCAATTTTTTCCTAGCACTGTGAATAATTGATTACATGTCATCCTGAATCGACGGTTAAACAACATTTCTGCTGAACAGTAATTGCGAAAACTCTTGCTTTTCTATTTGTATTAATCCCCAGTTTGCTATATTTTTTCTTCTCTCGTTTTAATTTTACACAAAAAGTTACGTTTTTTACGATATGAAACGAGACATTGGGGTGTCCAGGCCCTAAAAATGGAGCCAAAAATCACTCAGTTATATTTAAATCCGACTTCTTGCTTTTGCCATTATCAACTCCATCCAGTTATGCAAATTATCTACGATACAACAGAATGGAGGGTTGAGAAAGGAAACAAAAGCGAGAAAAAAGAAACAAAACGAACTCCGAGAGGAGAAAAAATGTGAAAACTAATAAAGTCCGAGTTTAAATGAAGTTAACATTTTTTTCTCGTTCTTCCCAGATGTTGAAGTTGACTGTGATGTTGCTGGGGGCTAGCATGGCCGTGGCCTCGCCCCAAGTATCGAATTTGGACGTGCTGATTGACAAGGCATTCCCGAATAACAACAATCAGAACAATAACGATCTAATTGCCCCATCAAGACCACAACAGACCACACAATCTGCTAAAAATCTTGATGTGTTGATTGACGAAGTGTTCGGTCAACCAGGCAATAATGATCAACGTAATGCAAAAAACAATATGAATAACATTCAAGTTAAAAATCTTGGTGATACTTTTTTAGGTGTTGATAATCAGAAGAGTAATGATAATAATGATGACTGCGAGTGTGTTCCTTACTACCAGTGTCAGAATGGATCGATCGTTGATGATGGAGTGGGGCTCATTGACATCAGGTAATTTCGGCGGTCATGGGGGTGTGGAGTATCGAAAATAGTCTAAATATTCAGCGTGATTCCGACGAAATGTTCCAGGCTGCAGGCACCGGGCTGCGAGAGTTACCTCGATATTTGCTGCAAACGTCCGGATATCATCCCGAACCCAGTCACCACTCCACGTCCAGTGCCAGTACGGAGAGAGTGTGGACGGCGTAATCCGCAAGGTGTTGGATTTAGAATTACTGGGGATCGTGACAATGAGGCCCAGTTCGGGGAATTCCCCTGGATGGTGGCTATTTTGAGGGAGGAGGACATCAACAACGCCAAGATGAATGTTTACCAGTGCGGAGGGTCTCTGATTCATCCCAGAGTTGTTCTCACGGCTGCTCACTGCATTGTTGGGTAGGAATTTATTCTGTGGAAACCAAGCAGAGTTTAGTTTGTTCAGCCGATATGCATGACCTCTCGGTCTTTACATTTTTGCACCCCTCCCAGGAAAGTGGAGTGTTAGGAAAGATAATAAAATGGTGGGAATAACACATCTAGATGAGACATTCTGGTATTTCAATCTTAAGGGGTAACAGAATGCCGCTCATTTCACAATTTTTTTGAACAAATTTCCTGCTGAACGTTATCGATATTTTTACAAATCCAAGCACAGTCTCCAGGTAACGATCATGGGAACCAATGGGCTGTGGGTTCACAAAATATTAACTACTTTGAGCAGGAAATTTGTTTGAAAATTTCGAGGAAAGGGTAGCTGTTATCCCTTGAAGTTAATAGAATATCTGGGTAGTACATCGAATAGTTCTAGTAGTGCAAGTCGGGAGGAAAAACAGGAGAATTAGTTGTTGGTAAGAATTTATTCTAGAAATTATCATCATTGCCGGGATTGTTGAGGAATAAATTAAGGATGTTTAGCCATTTTCAGCTAATCTTATTTTTTCATGCTCAAGGAAAATTCTTCATTTTTTTTTGGCTGATAGCAGAACGTGTGAAACTAACTTCCTTGATGTTAAAGAAAAGTTAATCGCGATAGTCTAGTCAAAAATAAATAAACAATTTTTTTCTTATACTCGGGCTCTACGGGATTTATGTTGAAATTTATAATTCCTACTATAAGACTCTAAACATAGAAATAAAAGTAGAAGGTAATGTGAAAAACTTTACTGAATCGAATGACCAGAGAAAAATTTGGGGTTCCCGTGCAAAAAGAGGAACTATTTGAAAGATTCATGCGTTTGGTGCACTTTCTCCACTCCATTTCTAAATAATAAACATGGGTTGGTGGATTGAAATTTTTATCAAGATGAAGGGAATAACTTCATCTCTCACTTGAAAAAAAAATCAATTTTCTTTAACACTCGCAATTTTGGATAAACATACTCAATTCTCAATTTTTTTATTCCAGGAAAACTCCTCAACAACTGAGAATTCGTGCTGGCGAGTGGGACACTCAGACGAAGTCTGAAATCTACCCTCACCAGGATCGTGATGTATCTAACTACGTGGTCCACGAGAATTATCACGCTGGAGCACTTCGCAACGACTACGCTCTGCTATTCCTCTCTCAACCGGTCGACATCACCGAGAGTGTTAATGTTGTCTGTCTTCCTGAAATTAACGACGTTTTCGATGGAGCTAAGTGCTTCGCCAGTGGATGGGGCAAAGATGTTTTTGGTATGATCTTAAAGTGAATGTCATCAATTTTAAAAGTGCATTATTTTAGGATTGAGATTTGCATTGTGACGTCATACTGCAGATGTTTTCCTTTTAAAAAAATGCGCAATTGAATTGTATTGATCCAAACTCTTGAAAAATAATTAATCTTGGTATTTTTTTTATTTTAGCATCCAAACCTGTCGGTTTATTCTGCTTTAAAAAAAAATTATATACTTTCTTAGAAAGAAAAGCATTTTTTTTACATAATATTCAAGTTAATACAATATCATATAGTGCATTCTTCGTTTTTAGATAATTTACTTGAAAATAATCTTGGTATTATAATATTTGCAGGGAAAGAAGGTCATTACCAAGTAATTCTCAAGAAAGTTGAACTCCCAGTTGTCAACCGCGAAATTTGCCAGATCAGTCTCCGCACCACACGTCTGGGAAAGTACTTCGTTCTTGACAAGAGCTTCATCTGCGCCGGAGGCGAACCTGGAAAAGATACTTGCCGGGTAATTTAATCACAATTCTCCTGCAAATAATTTTCGTATTGTAAAAAATTGTCTTTCATTTTTCTAAATTTGTAAATTGACTCTAGGGTGATGGAGGAAGTCCTCTGGTCTGTCCACTTCGCCGTGATCCCTCTCGTTATGCCCAGGCTGGCTCCGTCGCCTGGGGAATTGGCTGTGGTGAGAACGGTGTTCCTGGTGTCTACGCCAATATAGCTGCTGCTCGTAACTGGATTGATCAACAACTCGCTTATAACAATCTAGACATCACAACCTACGTACCATAATAGTCGATATATGTATTATGCATCTGTAATAAAATCCTGATTTTAATTCATACGATGATTGTCGTTATTGGAGAGAAAAAGAAAAATGTGAAAATTATGAAGAGAAAGACATTCATATGCAATAGAAGAATTAATAAGTAAGACGCTAATTTTATTTTCAAAGTGTCTGTGAATTTGTTACCTTCATTCTCGAATGTACACCATATTTATGAAATTTATGTAATAAAGGAGAGCGAGGCTAAATGGGCTATTTCTTATATTTATTTTTTCATTTCTAAATGTTCAGAGACTCTCTCGTCGCTCGTGATGTTCTCCATGAACAGATTGACCAAAATGCTGTAGAACCAAATTATTTGCTCGTTTGATGTTTTCGATCCCCCGAAATAATCATTATTACGTCAACGATTTTTAAATCAGTAGTGAAGTGGTCGAACGGTTTAAGTCAATTCCATTCTAACGCCGATTCTCGATGCATATCGCGAATTCTAAAGGAGTTGGCAAAATTGTCCTAAAAATATTTTTTTGTAAAGAAAAAAAAAGTAGTGAAAAATGTAAAAAAAAGAAAAAAAAGTAAAAACAAAATTATTAAATTATGAATTATATTTTGTAGTGAAAAATGTAAAAATTATGAAAAGATAGATATTCATACGCAGTAGCATAATTAATAAGTAAGGCATTAATTTTATTTCCAAAATGTTTGTGAATTTGTTAGCTTCATTCTCAAATGCACACCATATTCATGAAATTTATGTAATAAAAAAGAAGAGCGAGGCAAAATGGGCTATTTCTTTTATTCATTTTTCTGTCATTTTTAAATGTTCATAGGTCCCAAAAAAAAACATCAGTGGAACTCAGTCTGAGCTAATGACAAGAGGACAGAAAACTACCTTTTATCGAAGGAAAACTCACCTCGCTTCATCAAAAATTCATGCAGTTATTCGCCCACAAATATTCACGAAAATTCTTGCACCTCACTTTCAATTTTCCTCATTTGAGCCATTGATTATTTACAAAACCAAGTTCTACCTCACTCTCCCTAATAACGAATAAAAGAATCCTGTTTTTTCTCCAAAAATATAATATTCACATCACGAAATGTAGAATGCCAAAGGCGCGAAATTTCAAAACCCGCTGAGAGCTTAAATCGCGGCAGCACTGTCGCCGGAACTGCAGAATGCCTCCCTCCAATTACAAAACGCGGTTCTTTGTTCCCTCTTCTTTCTTCCCGATGACACATTTGGCCGTCAGTAGCGTGGGTCCTTCTGAGCTAGTTGCAAGGGTTAAGAAAAATCGTCCACAAATTTTAATTAAAAAAACTCGATCGCAAACGTATCAAACGAGTTTTCAGTTATTTTTTAAACAAAATAAACCGTGAAAGCGACGCATTCGAAGTACATCGGAGTTCGCGATATTTTGGTTTTTTTTTGTGGCGATCGTCGTGTGTAAATCGCTGCGAGCTTAACCGGCCGGTGGCTTCCATTGTCCACCGAACATCGTGTTTGTGAGTATTCGTACGACGCATTCTTCGATTCTAGATGCTGTGAGGCATGGCGCTGAGGTTCGTTTTTTAATTATTGAAACAGCTCAAGAGGATCCCGAATTTCTGGGGCCGGAGGGGGCGGAGGACGAGTCGTGAGGGGAGTTATGAGCAGCTCGTGGTTTAACCATCCAACGACATTATTATGAATCTGTTCAACGGCGCCAATGTGAGTGTATACATTTTTTTCACATCCCCCGGGTGCCTGAAGGTTATTCAGTGTCCTGACGAAAAAATACGTTTTTTTCTCGATAAGGCTCTGGGCTCTGTAGATGTTTAGGTCGTGGTGACTTCGACCACGACTAATCCTTCAGTGATAATTCCTCTTGACTCTTCGCGAATAATATTGTATATGACTGAGGGTTCAGTCCAGTTCTCAATACAATGAGATGATTTTTTTCTCGTCTTGCATGGAAATGGAAAGAAGCAAGAGGGGAGGGGAGACGATCTACGGAGGCTGAAAAAAATCGGGTAGCGGATCAGTGAATACGTCCAAGAGTAGTGAGGTTGTTGAATTTAGTAGTGAAGTGGTAAAACGGTGCAAGTCAGTTTTGGCTATTGGCCAGTTTTCGATGAATATCTCGGAATCTAAGGGAGATAGCTCAATTTGGGTTATAACCTTTTTTGTAGAGCCGATTGAGAGCTACAACAAATGTGATTACGAAAAATTCGCTATCTCCCTTAGATTCGGAAATATTCCCCAAAAACTCAACTGGGAAATAAGTCAACTTGAACTGTTTTACCACTTCGCCACTGAATTGTACACTGAGGTTTTTTTTGTTCATTCCTGATGAATGAGTCCGCTATTAGGGAATAGGGGAACAACTGCGGCTCCCTTCAGGCCACTGATTGAAATTTACGTGAAATCAGAAAATTTATACCTCATTTAAAAGTTAGGGGAGGTTGGGGTTAAATCGGACACTTGTTTTTTTTAAAATGTTAATGAGGGGTTGAAATGTTGATAAAATTTAGAAATTTTTTTTCAATACAAAGAACAATTCTTTCCCTTTGTGGCGAGCCTAAATTGAGCTGAATTGATAAATTTGTTTCTGAGTTATGAATTATTTTACAAAAGTGTAAAGTGTCCATTTTACCCCACCCTCCCCTATAGATATGATTTGCTGTAGAAATAAATTCATTGCCCGCTTGATGTTTTCAATCCTCTCGGGAAATGATTATTACGTTAGTTATTATTAAATGCTGTCAATAATTGTTTTCTCGTCTTGCATGTGAATGGTATGAAGCGAGTGGGGGAAGGGAGAGAATTCGAGGATGTTGAAAAAATCGTCTAGTGAGTCGCCAGTGGATGTCTCAGGATTGTCTAATGGTGCCCCTCTCGAATTCTTTGGGATTTTTTTTGTTTACGTCTGATGAATGAATTGTTCCACGGGAAAAATGAAAATTTCTTCAGGCCACAAATGAGTTTGAACAAATTGTTTTGTGAAATAAAAAAAATGAGTCAGTTTTTGGTTAAAGTTAGCCAGAGTTTACCCGTGGTTCAAATTAAGTTTAGACCCCTCAACACTCGGGGATCTCAATCTGGAATTAATTTAACTTTAACTGACGTTTAACCGTGGTTAGCTAAACTAAAAATTGGCCCTTAGACCTCAGGACTAGTCCAAAGTAATAGATACGATTTGCTGCAGAACAAAATTAATTGCTCGTTTGATGTTTTCGATCCCCCAAACAATCATTATTCCGTCAACGATCCTCAAATGTTGTGAATAACAAAATTAATAGTAGTCACCCCGAAATACCGAAGACTCCAAAGATAAAACGATTAACAACCCCATATCTATAACTAACGAGGATAATATTAACCCTAGATTGGTCACCCTCTGAGGGAAACCCGCCGCGCGTCATTTTCTTCAATTACAATTGACTGGTTAACCGGAAAAATTGAAAAAAATTTGACTTTGTCGATTGAAGTGTCTAAAAAATTACAGTAATTTTTAGATCAACATATTTCCCAAAATTCCTACAGAAACCAAATTATTTCGAACAGATGAATTATCTTTTCCCGTGTTAAAGGGGTATTCGCCTCCATCGGAGATAAAACCACTTGAATTTCTGGATTTTTTTTCCGTTGAAAAAATCGCTTTAGAGCTTTGCTTTTTCTACAATATATCTTTTTTAATAGTTACACTGCATGACTAAAAATCTGGTTCACCTGATTGCGATATTCCGAATGATCTGAAATGAAAATTTTTGACTTTTATACAATCTATCCACATGTGGTCTTCGTTCGACTGTTGCTCAATGATATAAGTTCATACACACAATACTAATTAATCTCGAGAGAGAGAGCGCACTCGAGTTTTCGACAATTCACTTATTTCTTCGTTTTTAAAAGAATAAGAAAAACTAAAATGTAAAAACAAATGGATTTTTTGAACCGTTCAAGGCGAATACCCCCTTAACTGAAATCGCCCATGACGCGACGTAGCCGGAAGCTCGCTAGACGCGCCCGGGCGGTGTAGAGTGAATCCGGCAACGCTGAAGCCTAAGTAACACGCCGGGGAATCCCCGCGGAGGTGACCAAAGTCGCAGGGTCGCGTTTGGTGACCAGACTAGGGTTAACCGAGAATTATGAAAACAATCTTGACCCCTCCCATGGGTCCTTTCCGCTGAAAAAACGATAAAAATCGCGTTGTTCTTAGTTAACCCCACGGGCCCCCTCAGTTACCAAGATGAAGAGGAGAGGCTGCGGTCGAGAGAGTTCGTCCACTTCGTCGTCACCCGTAACGGTGCTTGACATTTTGCAGAGGAACCAATTACACGGTGTGAATATCACGTCTTCTAGAAGAAGCAATAGCGACAACGCGTTCCCCCATCATGTTTTGTCGTCGGGGACTGAACAAGCGAATACCACAATAATTCTTGATTCTAGTTCAGAGCCAGAGTCGGAGTCATCTCCGAAATGCGAGCAAGGCAGTCGTAGCCCCGATCGCAAGGAGAGACCAAATAGCAGGAAATCCCTACAGTTCTCATTCTCCCAAGAGCCTCAACAGAGGTTCGGTGATCCCCCACAGCTGAAATCATACCTAAAACCAAGCCCTCGAGAGACTATTTCCCAGCCCCTATCCCCCAAATCCCAATCAGTAGAGAAGAGTATCTCCAAAGCGTTCGATCGTATCCGAAAAATTCGCGCTCGGAGGGCATCCGAGCGCAAAGAGGATCCCAGGATGGGTCCCTCCACCATCCTCAGTACACCAACGAGCCGACCAAGCACCCCCCACGGCGATGAGTTTCCCATTCACATACCGAGTGATGACGAAGTCATTATCGACAAAGAACCCTCCGAGAAGTCTGGCAGGCCCAGACGTAACTTGACCAAAAAGTTCTCCTCTATTAACTCACCAACTAATGCTTCGTCGGACGTTGTCGAGCTCTCCGATGATGATGAGACCCCCCCGCCGCCTCCTAAGCCCCCACTCGATAAACCTGACGATAATGTTGACAACATCCCGACGATTGACATCACTGAGAGTGAATTGGACAATAAGACGCTGAATTGCTTTCCCATGAAGAAGACCCCGCGCGTGAGGAGCAGCAGAAACAGGAAGAGATCAGAGAGAAATGATAAGATCAAGACGGAGAGTAACAGTGACTGCATTGTCCTGGAGGATTGCCCCGGGATCGCTGAAGACGCCAGGCCACTTCCAAACGCGGAACCTCCCAACATGAATGCGTCCCTCCTTGAGGAGGAGGACCTGCCGGGCTTCGGGACAACGGACCAGCCGAGAGGATTCCGTCATCACATCCCCGGAGACAATGAGGAGGACGTCTGTGAGATAAACCAGGGTCATAAGCCGGAAGGTGGAGCTGCAGTGAGCGAGATCATCTCTTCGGACTCTGAGACCAACAAGAGCACTCCTGTAAAGGCTACTAAACCGTTCTCCCTGAATCTTTCTGCTGCTAAGGAATATGCTGAGAGTTATCTGTTGATGAAGAAGAGGGAGAAAGGAGGGGAGGAAGATAGCAGGGGCGGGAGGAGGCTGAGGTGCCGGCAGAAGTCGAAGGAAGTTGAGGAGGCTGAGAGTGTTGTGATAGAACCTGAAGAGATATCAGAGGTGCCGAATGAACAGATCGGTTCAACTGTCGAGAGGAGTAGCAGTGGCAGTGATAAGACAGCAGAGAACACTAAGAAGAGTGACGAGGTCATTCAGGTAGAGGAGCGGCAAGTCAGCGGAGAGAAGAAGAAGCGCGGCAGAAAACCTGGACTACAAGTTGCTTCGGCTGTCGAGGAGAGGAGCAGCAGCGATAAGACGGCTGTGGAGAGTGAGAGGAAGAGGGACGAGGTTGCTCAGGAGGTAGACAGGCAGTCCAGTGGGGAGAAGAAGAAACGAGGGAGGAAGCCCGGGTGCAAGGTGAAGCCCAGGGGCCAGACGAACTCACAGTTGGCTGCTGAAAATCCGCCAGAGCCGTATCAATACACCAATACTGTTGGCGGATTCATTTTTAACGCCATGTCGAAGACTCAGGCTGAAGCGAAAGCTCCGAATCCAGGGAAAGATGATCCCGTTGAGAGGAAGAAGCGGGGGCGAAAGCCGGGGGGGAAGAACAGGCCCAAGGCTGATCGCGAGAGGAACTTGAAGAGCATTGTGAAAAGGCCGAAGAGGAAGTACAATGGTAAATCCAAACTGAAGCTGAATAACAACGAGCCTGCGGTCCCAGAGTGCTGCTTTGAGAGGTCGTGCTGCTACTTCGCGGGGTGTACACATGGCAATAATCATAAGAAGCCTGGGAAGCTTCCTTCTCTGCCGGAAGATACTGATTTCGTCTTCGCGGAGCAGTTGTATCAGGATAATATAGAGGAGATCAATAAGAGACTGTTGGCGCAGAGGGCGAGTGTTGACGCGGGGGCTGATTCGTCTGGGGCGAGTGATCACAATTGTGAGTTTTTGAAATTATTTTATTATTCAATAGTTACACTGAGCGAATCGGTTTTCTCTGATGAAAACCAAAGTGAGGAGAAATGTAATTTGGGGGATAAATTTTCACGCGATTTCATTGAGACAATTGAAATTTCTTTCTTTCTATTTCACTCGTTGAGGGGTAACAGAAGGCCACCGTTTCCTGGAAATTTTGAAACGAAGTTGCTGCTCAGAGTTATCGATATTTTTTTAACCCAAAGCACGTTGATCTGTATCATCGCTTTCTGGAGATTAATGTGCTTTGATTTGTAAAAATATCGATAACTTTCAGCAGGAAATTTGGAAAATTAGCGCATTCTGTTACCCCTTAAGGGGAGACTAGTATGAGTTTTAAATGTCGCGGGCTGTTCGAATGCGGTTGTCTAAAAATGAATAATTAGTGTAAAAAAATTAATTGTTTGTTGTTCGCTTGTCCCGCAAACGTTGAAAATGGTAAAAATAGTCCAGGGCCTCCAATTTTTGAGCTACTGAGGTTTCTTTTTTTTCAACATTTTTGAAAAAATGTGTACAATAATAAATACGAATTCGTTTTTCGGAATTCAACTCCTACACAACTAATCTCGTTATTTTTCAAATGAAAAATTGTACGATTCATGTAATTTTGGAATATCTAAATTTTAATATTTAAATCTTATTTTAATATATAAAATTTTAAATATTTTAAGGATAATGTTTCCGCCTAATTTACATAAATGGCGCAAATTTTTATTTTAGACAAAACGAAATTAGCTATGTAGGAGTCGAATTTCAAAAAACCAATTCGTAATTATCGTTGCCTACATTTTTTCAAAAATTTTGAAAAAAATGAAACTTCTGTAGCTCAAAAACTGGAGGCCCTGGACTATTTACAACATTTCAAGCGTGTGCGGGGCAAACGAAAAATAAAAAATTCAGTAGCGAAGTGGTAAAACGTTTTAAGTCTACTTATCTCCCAATTGACTTTTTGAGGAATATTACGGAATCCAAGGGAGATAGCGAAATTTTCGTAATGACATTTGTTGTAGCTCTCAATCGGCTCTACGAAAAAGGTTATAACAAAAATTTAGCTGTCTCCCTTAGATTCCGAGATATTCATTGAAAACTGATCAATAGTCAAAATTGACTTGTACCGTTTTACCACTTCGCCCTGAATTAATTTTTCCGCGCTAATTATTCATCTTTACACATATAAATGATTTTCAATGTACGAGAAATCTCACTCCAATCGCCCGCGACTTAGAACTCACAGCACTCTCCCCTTAAACTGAATGTTTTTGCTCATTGTTTTTCAGGTGACAAGGTGCCGAAAGCAATAATCCAATTCCCCCTGGACGTGGTAGCGAATGGAAATGCCTTGAACGGCAAAGAGGTCCTGGGCTTCACAGTACCTCTACCCCCCGGACTACCCGAAAACGACGGTCAAACGTTGGAAACTGCCCCCGAGGACAATCCCCCCAAACCTAAGATCGTGCAGGACAAGCTCTTGCCCAAAGGAACGATCAACCACGTCCTCGCAAAGCATCTCAAAACCGACGCCCCTCGCTCCACCGACGCCCCAGGTTCCCCGAAACGCGAGAAATTCGGAATAAGATCAACAATACCCTCGCGACGGTGTCTCAACCCCTCTGCGGATGCCAAAACCATTGACTCAAAAATCTCATCAGCTTTCGCCAAAATTTGGAAGAGGATTCCCGAGATAGCAGCTCTCATGGAATCTCCATCAAAGCGAATTTGTCGTGACGAATCATTTGATGAAGATACCACGGAGAACGATCAGATCCTCGAGGAGACAAGACCCTTAGAGAGACGTAAATCTCACCTGTCGGAGTCCATCAGCAACACTGATCTGAAAAATGGTCACATTAAGGCAGTGGGGATGTTAAACGGGCTCTTCAGTGACCCTCACATCCTCCCTTCGTCAGGAAGAAGTCGTCAGAGTGGCGAAAAGGTCTCTCGAGCAGCTTTCAGACCAGAGAACGGACAACAAATTAATAGTAAAAAATATGAGGACAAATTGAATGATAAATCAGAGGAGAGTATTTCACGTCTGACGAAGGAAAACTTGGCGATGATGGACGAATCCACTGATGCTCAGGACGGTATTGATGTCATGTCTCATATAATGAGGCAAATGCAGATGCCCGGGAAGCCGGTCTTCCCCCCGATGACTCCCCTGAGTCCTCCCAAAGTGCCTAAGAAGTCCTCAGAAGACTCGAAGAAACACGAGAACACACCGATGAGTGTGAGGAACAGTCGGAAAAGAGTCGCTGCGGCGAGTGTGCAGGACCTGGAGATGAAGAAGAGGATGAAGGGGAAGGGTCAGTGGAGTCTGAATAACGATGACGCTGAGTCTACGACGTCCGTTGAGAGTCGTCCCTCAGAATTCATCAGCCACCCGAGTCATTCCAGTTATCTCCTGAGTATTTTCGACAGAAAGAGCCCTCCGAGAAAGGAGGAGTTGATTCAGGCCTGGCTGAGCAAGGATACTGAAGACTCGAAGCATGATGCTGACGACGTCAAGTCTCTCGAGAATTCACACTCGCCGCATTCGGCGAAAACCTGTGTGAGGACTCCCGACGAGCGAGACGACGATTTCCAGATGGGAGATACTGTCGACACCATTCTGGAGGAGTCCAGTGATGCTGACGATTGGATGCTGAAGATTGGGTCGGAGAAAGAGCATGTTACTGAGGGCGTTCGGGAGACTGATCTCTGTTCGGGCTCTTCGTCCTCGAAGACTGTCTCAAACTCTTTGAAGGAGAGCTCTTCTGGCATCGGGACTGAGAAGGAGAAACAGAGCTCCTTCGAGACCGGCGATGGGGACGATGATGCTCCTGAGGTTTTGACGGCAACAGTCTCTCAGGGGGGCGATGATGATGATGGTGATGAGAAGGAAGATGAGGATGCTCTGTTTCTGGATGTTGAAGACGACGACTCTCTGATGGATGAATCCCCGGAAAATAACGAGTAAGTTTGTTCTTTCTTTGATGCTTGAAGTAATTAGTTGTTTTTTTTTTTTATTGAATGAAAGAGATACAAAGAGAATAACCGTTTTTATATTCACCGAGAACTATAGTTCAGGCACAACCTCAGTTGAATTTGATTCAAGGCCCGGGTGGATTTTCTTTCGAACGTCATTTCGATTGTTTTTCCATTTTGATGATGTAAAATATATCACAATTTCCAGTGGATTTGACGTCACGCAGGAGTCCCTCTAAATGAGATTGAACAATGATTTTTTNTTTTTTTTTTTTTTTTTTTTTTTCTTAATCGGTATTTTACATCGCTTTGCCCTGGTTAGGGTTTACTGCGATGATGATCAAGACTTTAAATGGTCGGCGCGGTGGGTAAGTTTACCACGACCCACCGAAGCACCGGGCATATGGAAAAAAAACTGAACATTTTTAAAGAGCGTTTTTAATGAAGATTCAAAAATAAGCCCGATAGAGAGGAAATAGTGAATGGACAATTCAGTAGCGAAGTGGTAAAAAGGTTTAAATCTTCTTATTTCCCAGTTGAGTTTTTGAGGAATATTCCTGAATCTAAGGGAGATAGCGAATTTTTTGGAATTACATTTGTTGTAGCACTCAATCGGCTCCACAAAAAATGTTATAATAACAATTTTGCTATCTTCCTTAGATTTCGAGATATTCATTGAAAACTGGTTAATAGTCAAAGTTGACTTGTACCGTTTTCCCACTTCGCTACTGAATTTATCATGGTAATTAACGAACTGACGGCCATTGACTACTGTGACAAATGACGACCTAACAGCCATTAGATACATCAAATTATTAATTTGCAATTTCCTCCCTATTGGCTTTACCTCTCAATATTACACAAAAACGCTCTTTGAAAATATCCACCATTTTTGCAACGTTTTTTTGATTGTACGATCATAATTTTTGGAGACTCCAGCTAAATAAAACTGATTAGCAATTGGAGATCATTTCATATTATCAAAATAAAAGAGCCCCGAGGACCACGTTCGAAGATTACTCCACCCGGTCCTTGATTTTAAATTCAACGATTATCTAATTCTAAATTTCACATTTTTTCACAGGAACAAAGAGAGTAAGGTCAAGCAGCCACCCAAGATATGTTCTCCTCCCCGAGCAGAGTCACCCCCAACAATAAATCCAAACGAATCACCGCAGAGGAGACCCTCTATATTAAAAGCCCCCGTCGTGGTCTCTCGAGGAGAATCGTCAAAGGCAATGGCTAGACCGCCCGATTGGGACGAGGATGAAGCATCGACCTCCGGTCTTTACCAGATGTCGAATGTCGACAGATACTGCAGTCAAAACCGTCGGGAATGCAGCATTCAGTACTCAGGAGTGGATGATCCCGATGCCTACGAGCCTGGCGACGTGGACGATCTCTACGAACCGGTGCAAACGCAGGCAGACAAGATGTTCTTTCCCAAGGACCCAAGACAGTTCTTCAGAGGCTTGTGCTATGCTTATTTGAAAAAGGGAAGTTGCACTAGACTGGACTGTCCCTTCGACAATAACAAGTATTCCTATCACCTCCAAAACCTGCCCAAGGCCCCCCCCGCTGTGATAGAACTAGTCCTCAGCCATGCAATCGCAGAGAACTACTTCCACGCTCTCTTGGACATCTACCCAGAGGCCATAAAGACACTGCCACTGCAGCCCATCCAGCGAGTTTGCGCGAGGATTCGCGTTGAAGCCGAGAAACACAAGACGAAGGTTCAAATCAACTACTCTGCTTACAGATTTTATCAGGACTCCATGAAGCCCACGGTTGCAGCTCTATCAGCGAAAAACCACTCCCCCGCGACGATTATCGATATATTGTCCAAGGGATATCTCCTTCGTGATGACGACGACATGAAGAAGCTGATGAGAGTCCTGATTGCCTCGAAAAAAATCCCCCCTGGGCATCATTGGGATACGTTCAAGGATTTAATCAAACTATTAAATTCAAGTCCTCCGCAGTTTCTGGTTAGTCTGATTCTCAATGACTGCATCAGGTTTGACAAGTCGAGGGAGTATCTGGTGGAGGTTTACGAGCACGTCATCAGGAGAATCCCAGAGCCATCGCTGCAGGGCATTGATCCGGGACTTTTGAGGCCATTCAGACAATTTTCTGAAGCTGTGCGGAGGCCGGAGGGGGGAGTGGCAATGAGGGAGTTAGCTAATGGGGGGAATAGAACGCCAATGCCTGATGTAGAGCAGGATTTTGGCGGCGAACGTCAGCATTGCCCTCAGATCGCTTCTCCAGACGAAGTTCGTCATGCTGAGAAGTATCAAGAGGAGGAGAGGAAGGAGAAGACGGTTACGGAACCGCGTAGGAGGAGCGTTAAAGAGAGATTGGGGCCTAGGGATGTGTTGAACAGGCCGAGGAGGATGACAACCCAGGAACCTCTAGATTTGATCCCCATAGGTGAGGTAAATAATAATCTTTCTTTCAGTTGTGCAGAGCGATTTATTTTTGTATTTTTTTGGGCTGAGAGGACGTTCACAGTGGAGTTCAGTAGCGAAGTGGTTGAAGGGTTGAGGCGATTTTGGATATTGGCCGGTTTTCAATGAATATCTCGAAATGTAGCTATCTCCCTTAAAGCCTGAGTGGATGTTTTTTTTTTATTTTGATAATCTGAAATGATTTCCAATTGCTATTCCCTTTTAGATAGCCCTGGAGTCTCCAGAAATTATGATTGTACAATCAAAAAAACGTTGAAAAAAAGCTGAACATTTTCAGAGGGTTTTTGAATAATATTGGGAAATAAAGCAAATAGGGAGGAAATTGCAAATTAATCATTTCATGTATCTAGTGGCTAGTAAGTCGCCATTGGTCACGGTAGTCAATGGCTGTCAGATCGTTAGTTATCATGATAAATTATCCATTCACTATTTCCTCTCTATCGGACTTATTCCTTAATCTTTATTAAAAACGCTCTTTGAAAATGTTCAGTTTTTTTTCTACTTTTTTTGATTGTACAATCATAATTTTTAGGGACTCCTGCGTGATGTCAAATTCAATGGAAATTGTGACATATTTTACGTTGTGAAGATGGAAAAACAATCGAGATAACGTTCGAAAGATGATCCACCCGGGCCTTAAATTCGGAAATATTTCTGGAATATTCAACTAAAGACTAAATTGAATTAAACCGTTTGACCACTTCGCTACTGAATTAATTGAATTGACTCGAAATATTCATGTAAATGTTTGCAGATCGGATCAGCAGGCCAAACTCCCTCTACAGGGAATTCCTGTGGCCCCTCCACTGCGATCTCCTGACTATTCAACTGAGTTTGAAGCATCGAGCCTACGATCGAGTCATTGAAACTCTCACCAGTGCTAAAAATCGAGTCTCAACTGGGAGTCAACCATTTGCCAAAGGATTCTATCACATCTTGTGCAGGGAAATAATCACTTCAGCTGATCATTTGGAGGCAGTTATGAAACGTTCAGGTAATGAGTTTTTTGAGCAGTCGGATAACGGTCGTTATCGAGTCAACAACCACTTAAATAACAAACGTTGCCATTGAAACGATTGAAAAGCAATAGAAACTTTTCAGTTACCAGTGTTTACTAGAAATTAGTGCCTTTCTTTATCAAAGAATATAGATTTCTTTAAGTTTCTTACGTCTGTCTGAAAAATCTCTCTCTCTCTCTCTCTTCACATTTTTCAGTGGAGTTTTTTTCTTATTTTACCTGCGTAGGAAAACAATTTATGTAGCATTTATCGATATTTTTTTTTTGAAAATCATCTAGTAGATTGCCATTCAGAGAATTCAGTGCCATAAGTGATGTATTTTTTCAACATATTTGATATGTATCTTTAAGATTTTTGAGGAAACCCAGAAGATGAATAGAATTTTATTTTAGAAAACAAAAATCAAACCAAAGTGGTGAAAAACGTTTAAAAATCATCGGTGACGATGAAAAAGCACGTGAAAAGTATGTGTGAATATTTTTTACGTGGACCCAAAGAGTATATTGAAAAAAAATGTATGTTAATGAGCGAATAAACTTTATTATCCAAATAGATTTTTGTATTAGTCCTTTGCCTCTGCATTTATTCTGCAAAACCTTCTTTCTCACTTTCTCATCTCTTCCGTTTTTTTTTCTTTTTTTCTCGATCTCTTTCCAGTTCAGACGAGGAGTTACAAAGTTCTTCCTGTATTGTTCGAAGTGGGGACATACTTATTAATCAGATTAGCTAATGATGGAGTGTGGATAATTGCTTATCGTTTATTGAGAATCTTGCAGAGATTGTATGGGATCAGAGAGGCTGCGAAAAATTATTTTTTAATGGCCGAAATTTTCATTGGCAATCGTCGACCATTGCAGGCACTTGCTCTGTTGAATCGTGAGTGTTAACGACTAGTAGAAGGATAGATTAGACTAGTAAGAGTGTTGAAAGTGTAATCGAGTTGTAATAAGGAGAGAGCATAATTAGCAATTACGTCAAACATTTTTTTCACCGAAGTTTCATGGAGAGAAAAAAATATTCCCTAATATTCAATGAGTTCAGTTAATTGAATGAGTTGTTAATAAATTTGCTCGTTTCCTGATTACATCTGAGACCTCCATTCCGTTATAATTGTTCAAAATAAAACGTGAAAATCTGAAGACCAGTACAAAGTTGTATGATTTCGAGAGTAAGTAAAAAGTTCAATTTATGTTTATGAATTACAGATATCCTAGTCCTTTGTCAATGAGTTTAGTATTTTAATTTGGAAAAATAGAAAAAAAAATAGAAAGTCTTCCTTTGGAGGAGGATTTACCCAATGATTGAAAACAAAACTTTGTCAAATTAATTTTGAGTGACATCCAATGTCAATGATTTTTTTTTCAAAATTTTCTTTCACACTGCAATGAGCATTTAAATGTTCTTAAAATTAAAAAAAATATGGGGAAATGTCATTTTTGTCAACAGAATATAAGTTGCTCTCCAAGCATCGAAGTAAGTGGGCTCTCAGGAGTCATTCACAGGACAAATCCCTGAGGACATTTGTTCTGGGGAATTTGATGATGAGTTTATGTAGAGATTGCCCGCAAGAGGCATTGAAAATGTTGAAGAAAGTTCTGCAGCAGCAGATCACCTGCTACGAACCCATTGGTAAAATGACAAATTTTTTGGGAATCATGTTAATGGGGAACTCAGTAGTGAAGTGGTGAAACGGTACAAGTCAATTTTGACTATTGCCCAGTTTTCACTGAATATCTCGGAATCTAAGGGAGATAGCGAAATTTTCGTAATTACATTTGTTGTAGCTCTCACTCCGCTCTACAAAAAAGGTAATAACAAAAATTTCGCTATCTCCGTTAGATTCGTAAATATTCCTCAAAAACTCCAATGGGAGATGAGTCGACTTAAACCGTTTCACCACTTCGCTTCTGAAATAGTTCCAGGGGTTGACAGACAGTACTGACCCTGCAATTTCTTTCCAGATTTATCAAAGTACACCGATGAAATCTGTAAATCATTGCTAGTGTCGAATAAAAAGGAAGAACTGATTGAGATGGCGGGCTTAATCGTTCATCACAATTTGAATGTTCGACGGTCAACGCTGCGAACACTCATCGCAACAGTATTTCATTCGGACACTTTTTTATCTCGACAGTTGCACCAATACGCAACATTGATCGGTGTCTACCCAGTCATCAATATCCGGCCTCTCACCTGCAGTCTCGTCCATTGCGATTGGACCGAGGAGGAGATGTTCCTCCAGGTTTTTTCTCTATTCAAAAATATCAGAGAAACGCTCGGTCCCTCGATTGAACAGGTCATTCCAGAGAGGGTGCTTATTTATCTGAACTTCGAGATTATTGCGGAGTTCACTAGCAATCATATTATCAAGGGTGAGTATAATGGAGCCGTTCTAACTCGTGCCAAGGAGAAGATGAGACGGGCTCTCAAGCGTTTCAATTCTGCGATCGATGTTGCCCAGGACATTGAGAGGATCTTGAAACTTTCCAGCGAGACTGTTATCGCTTTGATCAATTCAGAGGATTTTATCCGCTTGACAGAGCAAGGAAAATAACTCAAAGTTTATCTTACGTTTAATATGCGGTTGAACCGTCTCGATCAATAATTTTTCGCTTTTTTTAACGCACTCCTATTATTTTATTATCATAATGAATTCCGAGGGGGAATTTTTTCCTTTTATTCTTCGACACAAGCAGTTTTATGAATTTTTATTATGCCGAATGAAACACTTATCGACTTTCTATCTTCGTGAAAACGGGTTTTCAATAATCATGTGCTGAAATTTTACAGCGCAATATTTTGAGTCGTTTAATGGGAATAGTATCTGAAGGTTTTTCATTCAATTTATTCAGTTTCTATTGTGTTTAATGAGATAAGCAATCGTATTAGAGACTATTTCCGTTGATGACTGTGAGTCTTTATGCATCACACACTATATTATTATACTGAAGTGAAGTGAGGGCAAAGTTTAGTTTTTTGAAAAATTCGTTTGCCCACTTCATGCACATTTTTATAGTTTTTATTTCGCAGAGTACGACTATTTGTATTTTATTACGACTTCAAATTTGTTGGACAAATTATTTCCAAATTTTTCATTTTATTCATCGCCGCGATCAATCTTATGTTTCTTACATCTGTACTCTTATGATTTAATTATGAGGATAAATAAACAGTTTGAATACTCATGTATTGCACTTTGATATCACAGTTTAATCCTGCTCCCATACATATTCCCCATTACACACTTTATCTTCAATAGTAATAATAATAAGAAAAATAGTGAAAGACGATGCAGAGGAAGTCAGAAAAATTGAATCATAGTAGGTACTGCGTAAAAAAACGATCAGAAATATGAGAAGTAATACTTGTGTTCAATCTATTGAAATGCTTCTTCTTTGTAGTGACTATTTCTTCCTGCGTAGAGATGAAAAAGCACGTTGTGGCATCACTTATTTACAATCAATATCCTTATGATTAATCAACCGAGTGGCAAAATTATATTCTCTCCCTTTCATCGTTCAAGTCTCAATCAAATTCTGGAATATCGTCGAATGAATAACCAGGAACTTTGCTGTATGCCATTAGGGCTACTCGAACGTGATAGGCACCAGGGATGAACATTAAGGCACCCAAGATTATCATCGGCCACATTCGATCCTTGTACTGTAATTTGAGTGAAAAAAAATGTTAATGAGAAAAACAAAATTATACTTTTGGATCGAGGATGAGGCTCAATTGATCAATTCAATGGAGAAGTGGTACAAGCCAATTTTGACAATTGACCAGTTTTCAATGAATATCTCGGAATCTAAGGGAGATAGCAAAATTTTCGTTATAACCTTTTTTGTAGAGCCGATCGAGAGCTGCAACAAATGTAATTACGAAAATTTCGCTATCTTCCGTAGATTTCGAAATACTCCTCAAAAACTCGACTGGGAAATAAGTCGACTTAAACCACTTCGCTGCTGACTTTGATTTTGAGTTTTAAACATTAAGAGAAAATTAAAAAATGCCCTTTTTGCCTCATTCTCGCGTACTATTATAGAATGGTGTCTCACCTTAGAATCAATGTGGCCACTGACAATTAGACTGCCTATGATAAGCATAACTGTGCCTCCAACAAAAAGAAGGGCTGCTAAACCAATGGCCTTCCATGGAATCTTCACTGGAGGAGTTACAAACTGCAACAGAAACGTTGAAATCATAGAGTAAAAACACTCATAGCTCGGTAAGGAAAGCATTTAGGGGAGCATGGGGTAAAATGGACACTGGACGTTTTTAAAATTACTCATAACTCAGAAACAAATTTATCAATTGAGCTCAGTTTAGGCTCATTACAAAGGGAAAGAAATGTTCTTTGCATTGAAAAAAAATTATTGGATTTCATCAACATTTCAAGCTGTCATTAACATTAAAAAAAAGTCACAAGTGTCCATTTAACCCCAACCTCCCCTAATTATTGAATATAATAAGGCTCGGTTGCACCAGCTCCAGGTAACGAAAACGTCAGATAAGAAAAAAAGTAAATTTGGATGTTCGATGGATTATTTTACCCGGGAGAATATCTCAGATTTATCCCAGGAATAAAAAATAAAATTTAATCCCAAGGTTAAGTCAGTGTTAATCCAACTGAGGCTACAGGATAAATAAAAAATTATTCTTCGGGTCAAATACTGAAAAATTATGACCTCGAGGATAAATTTTACCCTGGGGTTTACTTGCATAACAGGGCTCGGTGCAACCGGGCCATAATATAATAATTAAAATATCTAATCATTACAAATATTAAATATTTAATACCTGCGAATCCACGAAACCATTATCGGTTTCGGTGAGCTGCGTGTAATCCACGTTGTCGAATTGTCTTTCAGCCCTTCCCTGCACGTTTTTCCTTCTTGACATACTCAGCCTGTAAATCGAATCTATAAGAAAAAATTGCCCATTCAGATAATCGATCAAATCTCAATGGGCAAGAAAATACTGTCAATCAGACTTGGAGGGGAATATTTATCTTCTAAAATAAACGCTAGCTATCTATGCATTACTCGAGTGACAGCCGGGTGTGTTTTGTGTATAATGGAACCGACTGGATGCGAAAACGAGAGCATTCGTGTACGGAAATAGAACTCGCCTTGCGCAGTGGAATATCAAGTCGATAAAATTTTCCACTTATTGCTCGACGATATTTCTCAATATTCCAACATTCGCGGATTGTCAACTGGAGTACAGCTTGAGAGCCCCTCTAAAACGAATAGGGGAGGGTGGGGTAAAATGGACACTTTAGTCTTTTTTAAAATTATTCATAACTCAGGAACAAATTTATCAATCGAGCTCAGTTTAGGCTCGTCACAAAGGGAAATAATTGTTCTTTGTATTGAAAAAAAAATTAAATTTCATCAACATTTCAACCCCTCATTAATAGTGCAAATAAATCCTGCAGTTTTAAGCACTTCAACCAATAAAATAGGAGTACTGAAGCACTCGTGAGGGCGGACAGAATTGTTTATTCGGTTACATAATTTCTGAGGAGTTTTGCACCTTTCGACAGAGAACTCAGGCGATAGCACTCAAGCGAAATCGATTGCTCCAGTTTTCAGCTTGAAAACAACAATCATGTCTTCCACCCCTTTGAGAATAAACTCCACGGGATTCCCGGCTCGAATGTCAATGTGACAAACAGATCGTCTGATCCTGAGGTCAACTATCCACTTTCAGAGAAAATTTTTTCCCATTTCCACTGAAATGCGTTGTGCGAGCGCTTGAGGGCCGACTTCTTAAAGAATCTGTTTTACCCATTCGCCGGTTTTGCGGGCAGATGGCGGATGGGTTACGAATATCGACGACTGGTCGGTAACGCAAAACAATAAAAGCGGGAAAGTACTATTTTTCGAACTAATTAAAATTCTCTGAAAATGAAAAGCAGCTAGACATTTTCTTTTCATCACTATTTCACCGCTAACAATCGAGTGATCAATCTCTCAGATTAATGATTTCGCTGACAGCCGCTGGGGCCTTGAAAGAATGTTAATCAATAAACCGTGAACTGTTGAACAAATTTTCATGCGATGAGAACGAAAGTTGGAGCGAGTGGTGTCTCGTTACCTGTGTTGAACCACCTCTTCCACATTTCCACGCAATGTCAACTCAACACGACAGGGTAATTCAATCCCAGCGTCGTTCACGACACTATTAAATTAATCTGATTATCCCCGCACACGGCAACATTTGGGAAATACTTCGGAGGCACAGATTCACAAATGTTAAAGGGGCGTACTAAAAAATATTGCGATTTTTAATGGACAATTGAATCGAACATGAACGGAGGTGGCGAGTCGATTAATAATCGGGTAAATTCTCGAGGATACGTCGCAGTATCATAGAGTGGGGATAAAAACTACAAATTCCGCGTGAATACTCGATGCAAACATCATCGGAACGTCTGGGGCGCGCCGTGCAAGGAGTGTTGCGTGCACCCTCGGATCGATCTGCGGATGATGCGGTTCTCTTTCTCTCTCACTCGAGGTGATTATTCTCCCCCTCGCGGCGAGGTTGCTGGGAGGGGAGAGTGGGGATGGAGGAGTGGAGAGCAACCCCCTTCACAGATCTCCAATCTCGCTCCCCAATTTTTTTTTTCAATAGAATTCAGTAGAGAAGTGAAACGGTTCAAGTCGACTCATCTAGTCGAGTTTTTAAGGGATATATCGGAATCTAAGGGAGATAGCGAAATTTCCGTAATTACATTTGTTGTGGGTCTTAATCCGCTCTACAAAAAAGGTTATAACAAAAAAATTGCTATCTCCCTTAGATTCCGAGATATTCACTGAAAACTGGACGATAGTAAAAATTGACTTGTACCGTTTTACCACTTTACTACTAATTTGGTGGGGACATGAGTGTCAAATCTCCTATTGATCATTTGATCCTCCTCGGAGGAGACATTCTATTGTAATGTTTATGCGAAGCAACTGTAGGGGATAATGAATGTGACTAACGACGTAGATTCTCTCGTTTTATTCTTGTGAGAGAATATCTCCTAGTTGAGTTTTTGGGGAATATTTCCGAATCTAAGGGACATACCGAAATTTTCGTAATTACATTTGTTGTGGGTCTTAATTCGCTCTACAAAAAAGGTTATAACAAAAAAATTGCTATCTCCCTTAGATTCCGAGATATTCATTGAAAACTGGTCGACAGTCAAAATTGACTTGTACCGTTTTACCGCTTCGCTAATGAATTTTGTGGGGACATGAGTGTCAAATCTCCTATTGGCCATTTGATCCTTCTCGAAAGTGACATTCGATTTTAATGTTTATGCGAAGCCACTGTAAGGGATGATGAACGTGGCTAACGACGTAAATTCTCATTTCATTCTTGTGAATGAATATTTCCCAGTTGAGTTTTTGGGGAATATTTCCGAATCTAAGGGACATACCGAAATTTTCATAATTACATTTGTTGTGGGTCTTAATCCGCTCTACGAAAAAGGTTATAACAAAAAAAATGGTATCTCCCTTAGATTCCGAGATATTCATTGAAAACTGGTCGACAGTCAAAGTTGACTTGTACCGTTTTACCACTTCGCTACTGAATTAACGATTACAATCTCTTATATGCATTTTTTTCGACCTTGGAAAGTGTGTAATCAATTTTGTGTTGACATGAGTGTCAAATCTTCTATTGTCCATTTGATCTTCGCAGGAGACATTCTATTTTAATGTTTATGCGAAGCAACTGTAGAGGATGACGAATGTGGCTAACGACGCAAATTCTCTCATTTTCTTTTTATGAATTAAATCACGGAATCAGAAGCCCATGCATGTTCCTTATTTGCGATATCTAGAGGAGAACATTTGCTTTGTTTTTCATTTTTTAGTTTCAGTTCCCGATCCATTTCGTAACTGCGTCTACTTCTGGCGACAATTGCCATAATCCTTGAATTTTGATAAACTTCGTTCAAAAATTTCGGTTCTTTTCGTGTGAATCAGCCAGGACGCGCAGGTGCGGGTATCCTTGCTCACCACCTGGTGGGGGACCCCCGCGCGCATGCGCATATCGACCATTTAATACAAAAAAAGTTGTATTTCGAAAAGTAGTGAACCAAAGCGACTCAAAAGAACATAAAAATTCAACGAACTCAGCTTACTCTTCTAATTTTCCCCGATTTTTCCCGCCGCGATTCTTCAAATTCCCCGATTATTCAACTCATTCATTCACGAACAAAAAAAACTATTTTCAAACGTCCAAAATATCAGTGTAATTTTGTATTCACTCCCCGCCGGAAATCCAGTCCGTATTCTTCTCGGGAGGTGAATACCGTCATTCGAATTGCGACGTACCGAGTCCTCGTAAAAAAAAACAATATTTCCCCCAACTTTTTTATTTCTACTGATTTAATTCTTATCTGGAAAAAAATCGCGACCTCAAGATCGTGTTTCCGAGGGAAAGTACTAAAAATCCATCAAATTTTGGTGATTGAAATGTAGCGTGGCACACACCGAAATAGTAGAGAACTGCCGGTTGGTGGCGCATTGATAAAACCGTCTGCCCTCGGGAGCCCAGAGGGGTGGCCGTACCCGTGGCGTGGTTCAGTGCGGGTTCTGGGGGCGGCGCGGGCGGGTCTGCCTCCGTTCGAAACGAGCCCTTCACGACAGCAGTCGCACATACAAGGGAGCCCGGCTAGTCAACAAAAATAAATTATCAATTATTATTATTATCCTCCCATTGAATTGAACCGGGCTCGCCTTCACTTCCTCTTCAACTGTACCTCGCGTCGTTACTCAAACACCGTTACATTTTGGGTTTAACTCTTTGACTAGAAGTTCGATTAAAGTTGAGGGAGAATTGAGAAGGATTCTGCTGAGGAACAGGGTTAAAACATTCAACGAGAAGCAACCCGTCGTGATCGTCCCCGACTCGTTGCAGGTGAATCGATAAAATTTTTAATTGGTTTTCATTATATTTAACGTCTCGCCAGAGAAAATAATGACAACGAGCATCAATTACTGTCAGAATCCACTTGTCACTCTGCTCTACTCGACGATTTTCCTTCGGTGGTGAATAATTATCGTGCTGATTGTCGAAAATGGAACCATGAGGGAATACACGCTTTGCACTGGACAGAATACTTCATTTCCGTTATTAATTAAATCTTTAAAGAGATGAGCACTGCGAGGTTAATCGCATTAACATTGCACACGTGCAAACACGAGAATATTGCATTCACATGCCCCTCTTTTTTTTTCTTCCCTGGGCCAGAAGAAAATTTACATGAAAATCGTTTCTCATTATGAAACAAATTACGCTCGAATTGCGTAAGGTTGCTTGCAAACAAAACGGCTGAAGGGCTCAGTGTGGATCGGCGAATGTTACTACGGTAATGCGGTTTACTTTGACCCTGGCGCTTTTATTTATTTCTAAATTAATGGTGGTTTTTTTTAGCTGAATTATTGGGTTCACTACAGTTTTAAAAATTTTTGCCTGAATTTTCCGTGCCAAATCCCGGAAATTTTTATCGTGCTCCAATTCCACTGATTTTTCAGGAAATCTCGTCATTGAAAATTCAGAATTTCGGGGGAAAATCAAACAGAACTGTAAATTTCTGCGGTGACACTGAATGCAATTTAGGGGAAAAAATCATGAAATTTCAGATTTCACTGAAAATTCAATTTAATTTGGCGCAGAATATTTATATTAGATTGGAAATTCATATAAATTGAGGAATTCTTGTCTTTATGCTGCTTAAAATTCTGGAATTTTTTCGTGTTCCAATTCCACTGATTTTTCATTAAATCTTGTCATTGAAAATTCAGAATTTCGGGAGAAAATCAAATAGAACTGTAAATTTCCGCTCCATTTTCCCCCGGAAATGAATAGAAAACCAGAAAATTCTGGTAAATATATTCTTGAATTTTCAGGACGGTGACACTGAATGCGATTTAGGGGAAAAATATCATGAAATTTCAGATTTCACGGAAAATTTAATGTAATTTCGCTCAGAATATTCATATTAGATTGAAAATTCAGAATTTCAGGAGAAAATGAAACAACTGTAAATTTCCGTTCCATTTTCCCCCGAAAACGAATAGAAAACCAGAAAATTCTGGTACATATATTCTTAAATTTTCAGGACAGTGACACTGAATGCGATTTAGGGGAAAAACATCATGAAATTTCAGATTTCACGGAAAATTCAATGTAATTTCGCTCAGAATATTCATATTAGATTGGAAATTCATATAAATTGAGGGATTCTCGCCTTTATGCTGCCTAAAATTCTGGAATTTTTATCGTATTCCAATTCCACTGATTTTTCATTAAATCTTGTCATTGAAAATTCAGAATTTCGGGAGAAAATGAAACAGAACTGTAAATTTCCCTTCCATTTTCCCCTGAAAATGAATAGAAAACCAGAAAATTCTGGTAAATATATTCTTAAATTTTCAGGACAGTGACACTGAATGCGATTTAGGTGGAAAAAATCATGAAAGTTGAAAAAATTTCATATTAGATTGAAAATTCAAATAAATTACGGAATTCTCGTCGTTATGCTGCTTAAAATTCAGGAATTTCACTGAATTTTCAGTGAAAACTGAAATTTCATGATTTTGTCCCCTAAATCGCATTCATTCTCACTGTCCTGAAAATTGATAGTCAGCTGTCCATGAAATTCCATTTGTTTTCCACCAAAATTTTGGAAAATGTTTGTAAGTGAAGACTCATTAAGTGCTCATTAAAAAAGGATGACAATCCCCAATTTCGGAAAACGAATAACCACTAATCCTTTGATACCGTAACACGGGGTGCATAATCAACGATTAAGTGATTAGATTGAACACAGGAGAACACGGGAATCAGATGAAAACTACCCAAACAGTGGGAAGGAAGTATTTTGCAAATTCGATGGAGCTTTAATGAGACTCATTGACATCCCACTGACGTACTCTTTCACACTGAGCATACACAAATTAGAAACCTTAGTTGCTTCAACTAACGTCGTATGACCCACATTGAACGCTACAGAATGGCACGTGTTCATCGCCAATCAATTAAACTTGAAAATTCTAATTGCAGTTGAACTGAGGCCTTTTACTAAAAAAACTTCTGCAAAAAGTTTCTTCCACTTTCTTCTCTCAGAACTGCCACTAGAATTTGACAATCTGACAGAAGAACCATTGAATCTCATTATTGGAGAAAATTTGCCCATCAGTTTGACTAACAGTCGAGTGTCAACGCACTTGATCGAATGAACGTTAATTGAATTTTTCCATTCACTGGGCCTGCCCTACGTTCTTCTAAGATGGGGAAAAATTTTAGTGGGGAAGGAATGATGGAGCTCCGGTGGAAGCAGCCTAGAGGGTAGAATCGATCGCATTTTCCCCCCTGTTTGAATTCCCTGCGAGAACCATTGAAAAATCATTTGGTTACATCCAGTCAACTTGTTTGTCTGATCGAAACTGCGCTTGCACTACTCACTAATCTGATTTGATTATAATGTTTTTCCGGGATTACGTCCGGGGAAAAGTTGCGAGGTAAATCCTATGCTCGACCTCGGCATTCCCTGAATATTCATGGAATAATACTAAATGCTAAATCGCACGATGATACCCCTTGGGGACGAATGGATTCAGAAGTTATTCGCACAAACCCGATCACACTCGTGACAACTCCGTAACTTTGGGGGGAAAAATTGTGAGCAATGCAACTGACGTTTCTGGATTAATTAGTTTTCAGTATGGAGTGCCCCGGACCGGTAGAAAGGGGCAGGAACTTTCGTCTACTTATGAATGAGGAGCTTCCACTACTCTTAGAATTTCTCGCTGGATACTTACCTGAGTCACTCAAGGTAAGTAAATGTACTTGACGAAGTACTCATGCTACTTGCGATACAATGACTTAACGTGGTTCACTTCTCCTTGTGACTTCAGTATGCGAATTTTATTTTTTTGCAAGCAAAAAAAACAAACTGTTAGAATTTTTTATGCTGTGAATCGTTTAAGGATGTTCTACACCCTTTCTGCCAAAATTCACGTTTTTTTAATTTTTCTGGCGAACTTATGATGGAATTGACGTGGAAAAATATAACGTTTTTGCGTTTTGTCATTATTTAATGACTGACGAAATTTTAAGGTGGTGCGACCATTTTCCTGCGTTTTCTCTAAACTTTTAAAAAGAATCACAAAACTGGAGAAAAAACGCATGAAAATTATCGCACCACTACGCAACTTCGTGAGCCATTAAAGAATGACAAACCACAAAATCGTTATATTTTTTCACGTCACTCCCATCGATAATTTGCCAGAAAAATGAAAACAACGTCAATTTTGGCTAAAAGGGTGTCGAACATCCTTAAGGAACTTCGTATTCGTGTTGGGAATATAACTAAATGGAGCAGCCCATTCACTTTAAGGATGTTTAGCCATTTTCAGCAAATTATTTTTTCATGCTCAACATGGAGAGAAATATTCAATAAAAATTACCTATCTTTTCCGTAATTCCGGAGCAAAATGTGGTTGTAGGAAATTTTACGGAGCTGTCATGGAATTTTTCCAGGGGGTTCGGTAGTTTTTATCTGAATCTCCTGTGAAAAATTACCATACCGTCACTTAAATTTTTTGGGTCGATTCCGTAATCGGTGAGCGAGTTGTGAGTTCTGTAATTTTTACTGAATATTTCTCTCCGTGAAGGAAAATTTTGCAATTTTTTTGGCTGATAGCAGAGCATATAGAATTAAATTCTTTGATGTTTAAAAAAATTGGTCGCAATAGTCTCGCCAGGAATAAATGAACAAATTTTATGGGATTTATGTTGAAATTTATAATTCACCAACTAGAAGACTCTAAAAATAGAAAAAAAATAGAAGGTGAAGTGCACAACTGTACCGAGTCGAATGGCCAGAAAAAAAATTTGGGTAGCCGGGCAAAAAAGGAAGTATTTGAAAGATTCTATTCCATATAAGCGCATGTTAGCGCATTTTATCCATTCCATTTCTAAATAATAAACGTGGGTTGGTGGATTGAAATTTTGATCAAGATAAGGGGAATAACTTCGTCTCTCAGTTGAAAAAAAATCAATTTTTTTAATATTTGCGATTTTGGATAAACATTCTTAAATTACGTATTTTTGAGATTGTCAACATTTTTTACTTGAAATTTAAAGACCATTTTCTAACAGTGATAGAAGTTTCATCTTAAGGCTCGGATGGATTATCTTTCGAACGTGGTCTTGGTGGCTTTTCTAAATTTGATAATCTGAAATGATCTCCAATTTCTATTCAGTTTTACATAGTCCTGGAGTTTCCAAATATTATAATTGTACAATCAAAAAAACGTTCAAAAAAGCTGAACATTTTCAAAGAGCATTTTTGAATAATATTGGGAAATAAACCCAATAGGGAGGAAATTGCAAATTAATAATTTGATGTATCTAATGGCTGTCGTCATGGTAAATTATCCATTCACTATTTCCTCTCTATCGGACTTATTTCTTAATCTTCATTAAAAACGCTCTTTGAAAATGTTCATTTTTTTCTACTTTTGTAAAATCCAATAAAAATTGTGATATATTTTACACTACGAGGATGGAAAAACAATCGAGATAACGTTCGAAAGATACTCCCCCCGGGCTTAAAAAAAAATATATCCGTCATTGTTTTCAATTCAACGGCACAGGGATAATGAGATGTCTTGAGCATCGGCGAGTAGAGTCACCACCAAAGACGTAAAACCCATCTCCTCAAGCCCATAGGATCACCATCGACCTAAGATGTATGCTTGTGCGTTATTTTTCTTCTGCCGCGTAAGGTCAAGGTCAGTCATGAACCACTGCAGTGCCGTGACCCTTGGAGAATTCCCATTTCCTCCTCGTTCCCCGGGATTTTCAAATTAAGCGATAATGAGTTATGAGCAGTCCAGTTGACCATAACAAATTGGAATATTTCATGTTGAAAATGACTGGTTCCCCATCCTATTGATTTCAAACGATAAAATACCTGAGGAATGGGGCGGGAGGACTCTCTGGTCGATGGAAATTGGCGGGAAAGCACAGACCCGTTGAACTTGGTACGATATTGTTCGTCGGTGAGGCAAGATATGAGACATGCAAAGTTCATCGATTTACGGAAAGGATATGGGGACGAATGCTTTCGTTTTTAGATGTGAGAGAGGGAGAGAGAGGAAGGGTGTACGATAGTAGGAAAGTATGCGTCAGCAAGTGGCCTTGACCGTTTGATGATTTGCGTTTCGGTTGGCATGTTACCCGCATAACGGATATTTTGAGGGTACGATTACAATAATGGTCACTCTAAAAGTGACATTCCGTTGATCCGCCAAACTGTTCGAGCGCCTACTTATATTTTCCATCACTCAATGTGGTTCTTTATTCTCGACTTTTTCAGTTCCATCAGACAGTCTTAACGTACATGAGAAACAAAGTATGGGAGTTCCATTTTTATGTGGCTGACGGCTGGCCGGATGTCCCCATTTGTTTACATTTTCCAGGAATGACGTCGTCTGTAAGTACTCGCATATTATTAACAAAAATGTTCATCATTTGGAACAATACGGAGTACTGTAAAGAATAGCTAGAGACATTGCAATTATCGGACAGTGTAGGGTCTTCCATTGACACATATCAGAGTGCATAGACCTCCGAGGGCAATGACGACAGCTGACGCTTCGATATTGTGATAGTGATATCATAATGATGATGATTATGCTATTGATTCATATTGAGAATAATCCCGGGTCCCCTCCTGCCTCATTCAAATCCCATCCAATCATCTCCTGTGACGTCACAAAGATGGGGAACGCTATATAAATTCCCTTCTTTGATGTAAAAATGAATGCCGTGAGAGGGACGGCGGAGCTCAATATGTACCAGAAATTTGAAATGAAGAAGTGGCTAGGAGCCGGATAGCTCGGTTGGGAGGAGCACCCGTTGTGGCTTATTCCAAGATGAATGGGCTAGAGCAATACTCTTCCATATCAAGAGACGTAAACACAACAAAATTATTCCTACCGATAATTTTGAGAATCCAATATTTAAATCAGTAGCAAAGCGGTAAACCGGGTTAAGTCGATTTTTACTATTGGCTAGTTTTTGACGAATATCTCGGAATCTAAAAGAGATAGAAAGATTTTTGTCATGACCTTTTTTGTAGAGCCAATAGAGCGTTATAAAAAAAGTCATGAGAAAAATTTTGCTATCTCTCTTAGATTCCGAGATATTCAGCAAAAACTGGCTAATAGTGAAAATCGACTTAACTCGGTTTACCGCTTCACTACTGAAATATTCCAGAGAAATTGACCAAATCATAGTTCATAGTTTTTTTCAGTAAAAAGTTTCTGGTTATTTATATTGAGAATAATACCGTACCTCATCCAAATCCCATCCAATCATCACCTATGACATCACAAAGATGTGGAACGCAATATAAATTCCCTTCTTTAATGTTTAACGTACAATAAACATTAATACACTTGAACGTGTAATGATGGACAGTCATGAAATAGTATGGGGTTTTTTACTCGTGTGGCGTTGGCCTCCGAGGCGTAGGCGAGGACTGGCCAACCATACGATTAAAAAAACCCCATCGCAACAGCCCAGGAACAATATTTTTCTGTAGTGATTTTCAAGTTTTCGAGTTTGGGAAGTATGTAATACCAATTCCCAGACGAGAAATCGTGAGAAGCAGTGCAGAAAACAAATTTTCTATTCTCTGAAACCTTGAGCGACTCTTATTAAGAAATTCTCACGACGAAAAAATGTCGAACAAGATTAAAGAACTTTGAACAATACATTTTGCAGTGTAATTAATATCCATTGGCATGTTCAGCCGCACGGTCTTCTGTACGAGAGCTTCGGGGTCTTCTGTCCTAACAAGAGCCTGGACCACCTTCACCTGCTGCGCGATGAAGACATCTTGATTGACTGGGAGAAGCCACTGTACATTAATTTCGTCCACCATGAGATTGCCGGGGAGTTGTTCGATCTTTACAATGGAACCGGGACAATCGAGCGTGTCCTGGGTGACGTATGGGCTTGTGAGGAGCCAGGAAACACCGTACAAATTGAGGACGAGCCAATTGAGGGTGAACCGGAGGTCCAGGTACTCCCTCTCTGTCCTGAACATGCTGAAGGAATACATGAACTCTATCCAGCTAATGATATGGAGTGCCACGAACTTTTTCTTCGTTTGATACGAATATTGCCAGCAGCCGGAGTTTTCGTCGATGGAAAATTGGCTGCTTGGATGATACAGTCGTACTATGGGGCCATGTTTTCCATGCAGACTAAGCCCGAGTACAGGAGGAAAGGATATGGCACGAGACTTGCGAGGTGATTGGCTGTTTAGTATCGAATTTATCTTCTTTCCTGATATCCATTCCTTTCCCTTCTGCACCTTTTGGTCTTGAAAGGGCGAAGTGTTTTGTTTTTTCAAGGCTAGAAAGTTGTCGGGTATTTCAGCACTACAGTGTTTCCAAGAAACTTGTTAAAGTTCGAAACTCTTTGAAATTCTTTTTTTTTTAATTTAAAATCGCATCAACTACTAGGTCTTTAACGACTTTATAAAAAATTGGTACATTAATATTTACATCGTATATTGTCACTCATATGAAGTGGTGTAGGTTCATTCTTTTAAGGAGCTTCATAAGTTTATCAACATTGTTGTTATCATTCAGTACTTCTGTCAACACATTTGGAAGCTCAAGTGCTTTTCTGTCACTGTTGTATTTCGGGTATTCTAGTAGGATGTCTTAATGTCATGTTCGCTTGGCAGCTCTCGCATACTGGTGGGTCTTCTTTCTCCATGATAAAATTCAGTAGCGAAGTGGTAAAGCGGTTTAAGTCGATTTTGACAATTGGCCAGTTTTCAGTGAATATCTCGGAATCTAAGGGAGATAGCTAAATTTTTGTCTCGACCTTTCTTGTAGCACTCAATTTCCTCTAGAAAAAAGGTTATTACGAAAATTTCATTATCTCTTTTAGATTCGGAGATATTCTTGAAAAACTCAACTAAGAGATGAGTCGACTTGAACCGTTTTACCACTTCGCTTCTGAATTGTGAGTCAGTTTTGTACGGTGAAGGCTTTTATTGCTGGAAACGTAGAAAAAAAGTATGCACTAGTGTAACAATGTTGTTGATGAAAGTAAATCCGATCACTTTAGTGGGCGCAAATGGCTCCCAACGGAGGTGGAAGGGCACGAAGATCGAAGCGAAATACAATTACGAGGGAAATATCGAATTGTGAATTTTCTGTTTAGGTACCTGACAAAAACAGTAGCGGACAGGGGTTACACTCCCTTCGTCGTAATACGTCCAGAAAACGAGGCCAGCCAGAGTCTTTACAAAAAACTTGGCTTTAGAAAACTTTACCAAACAGTTCGAGCGACATTTACCCCTTACAATTGTCAAAAAATATTGGAGGAAGATGAATCAATCCAGAGCACTGATTTTTCCAGTACGGTGAGAAAATTTCAAATGGAGCAACGGGTTATTGACGTATTACAGAGTGACGAGGACGCGACTGTCATGGCTGATAATGATGATAATGAGGGTGAAGATACAATACGCGATCCAACGGATTCGCCAAAAGATGATGACGAAGAGGAAATTGAAGAGAACGGTTTCTCGAGGAATGTCGAGTGTCTTCAGCCGATTGACGAACAGCCTGAGGACAGAATAGACTCGGTTGACGATGATCAGTGTGAAAATAATGGTACCATGCAGGATGTGGTCAGCACTGATGCGGATGATTGTCCTGATGACAATGGGGATGAATAGAGTTTAAAGTAAAGAAATAACTTTTTTTTAGCTAGCGAATTATTTCAATATGCGAGGAATGGTTTATTGGTGCCAGTTCGTTTCCTTTTTATAAAAATGAAGACAGAGTTCAGAATGTCTGGTCATCATTGGGTTCCTGTCACTCGAAAAAAAAATTGAATAAATAGTATTGACGTTGAATATCTTCAGATTTAGGCAATTGACTATTCCTCGGGCATTGAAATATGAAAGAAACTAATGGTGTTTTTGTGGGACAATTAAATGGGAAAATTGAACAGAAAGAAAGAAAACAAATGCTTCAGTTTCATTCCATAAAAAAATTAAGAATAATTTAGCTTCCCAATGGCAGCTTCAAACACTCCAAGTTGCTGCATCTCAATTTCTCTATTTAACGAAAACCCTAAAAGCACAAAAGTTATCACAACTGGAGAAGAAGAAAAAGTATTTTAACGAAATTTTCAAAAGCCAGAACAAACTTACTCAGCGATAAATTTGTGGATTCGCTCGAGGTCCCAGTTTGTAAATGCACGTGCGGAGATATCCGGCCTCTCTGTGCGTATACCTCATATCATATTTTTCAGATGAAAATAAAGGAAATTTAAAGCGATATAGAGACCGCCTAGCAGGCTCAGGACCAAAGGAAACTAGTAGGGTGCAGTGTACTCAGAACAACGATTCCTTTGTTCATAAATGCAATCAAGATTATTTTCAGTTTTATTGAATAATATTCTGTACTCGCTGGAAGACAATCGCATTCTGATTTCATTAACAATTCCCTTTGGATACTAATCGACAAATTTATTGTTATGATTAAGGAGTTGAGGAAATAAAAGAATAAAAGAACTAGGGGAGGGTGGGGCAAAATGAAACAGCCGAAAAATGTCTGTTTGACGTAATTCAAGCAAACAAATTTTTTTTTGTCAATTTTTTTAAATAATTTTTTTTATTATTAGGAGTAGAGATGAGAAAATAATTTTCTATTCGTCTGATAATTCAATTGATTAGATTAGGTCGATTACACTTTTCTTTTTTCATTCGATTGAAATTCAGCATCACATTTTCCTTTCTCCCCCTCACTAATTCACTAGATTTTGGATTTTGCTCTTTCATTTTTTTCTCAATTAATCCATTGATAAATCTTCTCTCGTCAAAACTTATCAATAATTTTTCATTCTACTGAATGGAAAATTATTGTTCTCATTAGTACTCTCAAGAATAAAAAAAGTTAATCAACAAAAGTTGATAAAAAAAATATTTAACAAAATAAATGTTTTTGTTTGAATTGCGTCGAATAGTTATTCTTCGACTGTTTCATTTTGCCCCACTCTCCCCTACTTGAATAATTGAATTCATTCTTGATTGCGACGAGAAGCTGAGTACAGAGGCAAATGTAGAATTCATCGAACAAACGAAAAAAGTCGAAAAAATTAACCGAGCCTTTCCTTGATAGTATACTGACGAGACAAGTGGAGTCATTGGTCGGTGAAAGCAATCTGTGATTATTATTTCTCTGTATAAAGTATGTAGGAACGTAAACGTGTTGTAAGAATATGAAAATTAAAAGAAATAAGAATTTAAAATGAAACTCCTGGGACCTTGAGCGAAAATTATAAAGCTAAAAATAGTGACAAAAGAAATGAGAATAAAAATAAAGCCCTGAATAATCTAAATCGCAGGAAAACATTATTGGTGCAGTCTTTAATTCATTGACGAAGAACTTGAAAGACATTTTCAATGTTTGTGACATAGTGTCCTTGCGGTGATTAAGGAGACACAGGTGGATCAAGCTCGAGCCTCAGAGGTAAAAAAAAACAATTAGTCACCTCAGATAGATAGGTTACTTGTATAATTTTTTCTACGTTTAATAGGTGATAAAAATCAATTGTATACAGATAGGATGATAATAAGAATAATGACGTTCGACAATTGAGAGTTGGGGCTTAAGTTGGAGTCACCTGAATTTTATTCCTGGAAATGTAAAAATATGTATTATTATTATTGATTTCCTGAGCAGGTGTGAGAGATGAGAAATATAAAGGACAAAGAGATCTTTCGAAATTCAAGTTTTTTAAAGAAAATCATTTTTATTCAGAATTGAGAGATTGAAAGACGATATGTATGGTCCAATGAGAAGACAGGGATTGTCCCGCTCTTCCATTGGTTGCAAGTAAGTATTATTGAGGACATTGACGGAGTAAATAACGGGAGGAAACAAAACTACTTATTTATCTGTTTATTTCACTCAATTGTTTCAATCCTCATGTTATTCGTTCGTGGATTACTCAGTTCATAGATTTCTGTGACTTATGTAAACTGAAGAAAGGGGGCAAGCTGTGATACTTTATCCAATACATTGTATTATTCTCTGTTAGAGTCACAATATGTACTTTAGTGCACACGCGATAGAAACGAAACGTCAGGAAATCCACAAATTTCTCATACTTTTTTTCCGTTGAGTTTGAATATTTCTCAGGATTTTACTAGGGGAGAGTGGGGTAAAATGAAACATGGGGCACAATGACTGACGCAGTTCAAGCAAAATTTTTTTTTCAATATTTTTTTTATTAACTTTTGTTTATTTTTTTTTTACTCTTGAGAGTACTGATAAGAATAATAATTTTCCATTCAGTAGAATGAAAAATTATTGAGTAGTTTTGACGGGAGAAGATTTTGTCAATGGATTAATTGAAAATAAAACGAAACACCAAAATCTAAAGCCCAGAGGAAGGTCCAGGGGGAGACCCAGAGGAGGAAAAAGGAAAATGTGATGCAAGTCAATTTTGACTATTGACCAGTTTTTAATGAATATCTCGGAATCTAAGGGTGATAGCAAAATTTTTGTTATAACCTTTTTTATAGAGCCAATTAAGTGCTACAACAAATGTGATTACGAAAATTTCGCTATCTCCCTTAGATTCGGAAATATTCCTCAAAAATTCAACTGGAAGATGAATCGACTTGAACCGTTTTACCAGTTCGCTACTGAATTTCAATCGAATGAAAAAAGAAAAAGGTAATCGACCTAATCTAATCAATTGAATTATAAGACGAATAAAAAATTATTATTCTCATCAGTACCCCCAATAATAAAAAAAGTTGATAAAAAAATTAACAAAAAAAATGTTTTGCTTGAATCGTGTCAAACAGTCATTTTCCGACAGTTTCATTTTGCCCCACCATCCCCTATTTTCTTTCAATTATTTCGTGATTACTCGACACTCAGAGAAGATGATGATAACGAAGAAAAAAATCTCCCAGGGATTATCGCGTCAATTAGAAATTTTACGTTTCAAAAATGAGAAAGGAAAATAATAATATCCAGTTGACGTTCTCATCCACCTCATGAGCCGCGCCAATGCCTGAAACTTACATTCCTATTGCAATGACTACAATATAAAGACGCCATCAAAAAGAGAAAGAGGATTTTTCCAGTGACCATGCACACATTTCCTTCGTTGGCTCAAATATTTTTCATTGCTTGAAGCTCTTATTTGACTCACATAATTTCTTTGAATAACTTTACGTATGAAATTGCGTGAAAACGTGAATGTGCGGGGGTTTCAATTAAATTCTTGCCCAGTAGAGGGACAGGAGAATCAAGAAATTTGTTCAAAAGCTTGTAACAACGAATCCAGCTTCCAAAAAATAATCCATTCGCCAGGTTATCTTAGTGAACGGCTTGCTAGCCCTAAGTTTTAAGAGAGAAAATTAATCTCGCATTCTAGGGGCCTAACAATGACAAAGGGAGAAGATTACTGAGTTTTTTTAATTCTCTGTTGACGCGGAGAGAAATGTTCAGTAAAAATTACGAAACTCGTAATTCGCTCATCGATTACGGAATCGTAATTTTTCATAAGAGATTCGATAAAAATTACGGAACGCTCTCGAAAAATTGGGGGACACTTCCGTAAAATTTCCTACAAACACATTTCGCTTCGGAATTACGGAAAAGAGCTAATTTTTATTGAATATTTGTCCCCGTGCCTCCGAGGCAATTGTGAATTTGTTATATCGGGGGAAAATGATCTCTGGCTGACCAATCTGTTCGAAATGGAATGAATTAGGCTCTCCGATTGAACAAAGTCGGGCAAATAAACTAATGCTCTTTTCATTGCTCTCTCTCTCTCTCTCTCTCTCTTTCTTCCTCTTGCACATTTCGCTTGTCAATGACAGCAATGTTTCTCCGCCTGTCAATACTATCGATAAAGACAGAAGATGAAGATGTATTAAAAATGGAAAATGAGGAACAAATATTACACTCGACTGAATGAATAAACGGGAGATGACATATGTACAGATGGAATGTCTTATTATACATAAGAAGAGTGAAATGAGTATTTGTAAAGTCGAGGAAGAGTGTGAGGTGAGAAAATACTGAGGTGATGGTCTCTTTCGGACAATGAAATTTCAAGTTTTGGAATAGTAAAAAAATATATAAAAATTTTTATGATTTTGATATTCTTATTGCCTTTCCCAACGCCAATGCTGGACGAAATGCCAGATGAAAATGGGTTTGAATTTTCCTCTACAGTTCGCGTCGAGTTATCGTCACGGGGTAAACCAGTTGGAAAATGCAGCCACATGAACCGACTGTTGACAAGTCTCATGTTTATCTTGACGTTAATTTTATCATTGGGTTCGGTACTTCCCCACCAGCGTTGCATGGAAATGTGCATTGTGCATTCCACTGTTTCGTCGCGTGAAGAGCAGAAAAGTGATTTTTCAGATTTTAGGGGAATGACCGAGATTTTCGTCGCCTTCGAGAGGAAAAATGCACGAGGAAAAGAGAAAATCGAGGGAAAAATCGTTAAGTTGAATTAAGAAATTCGATACTAAAATACAAAATTGAAGACATTCATTCAAACATGAACCTTAAAATACAATTTTTTAGTGGGGAAGGGGAAAATTTCCTCTATATTTCTTCAGCTAGTGTAGGGGAGGTTGGGGTAAAACGGACACTTTTGACTTTTTCAAAAATGTTAATGAGGGGTTGAAATGTTGATAAGATTTAATAATTTCCTTTTCAATACAACGAACAATTCTTTCCCTTTGTGACGAGCCTAAACTGAGCTGAATTGATAAATTTTTTTCTGAGTTATGAATAATTTTAGAAAAGTCTAAAGTGTCCATTTTACCCCGCCCACCCCTAAATATTCCCCTTCATATTGTGAAAAATAAGAGAGATCACTGGGATCAATTAAATTTTTATGCATTTTGGGACAATACAATTTTTATACAATTTTTTAGTGGGGAAGGGGAAAATTTCCTCTATATTTCTTCAGCTAGTGTAAATATTCCCCTCCATATTCTGAAAAATAAGGGAGATCACCGGGATCAATTAAATTTTTATCCATTTTGGGACGTATTTATGGGCATGGAGGACTATAAAAAAATATGATAAAAAAATATCAGAAATTTCAAACAACATGAGATGTTGGCAGAGTAAGAGGATCTGGTCGACTGGTTGACGGCATGCGCATTGGTCACAACACCAACTATACTGTTATTCGGTAATTTTCGTTCATTTCCGTCGCCTTCCGTGAAAACGAAATGCCGAAATAGTGGGGATACACCGAGGCAGTGTATCCGTGACGTCACATAATTAGAGTAAATACAAAGTAGTCTCGATGGGACAGTGGCGTGCGCCGCACCGTGGAGCCGTAGATTTTGTGTGCGTGTGTCAAAAAAAATCTATTGAATAGTGTTAATTAAATTTAATTAAATAGTCGAGGGGGATTATTGAAACTTGGAGTAACTGTGTGCTTTACTGTGCAAGGCATTGTGAGTGATTTAAGTTGTATTTTCAGTTGGCAACCTCGCGCCAATTTGTTTATAAAAAATAATTTAAAAAAAATAAAATTCATCATTTTAAGAGTGAAAACTGTGGAATTCGACAAATTGGGATAAATTTTTCTAAATAATCTAGATGAACGTGAAGAGAGTGTGTGATATTAGGGAGCATAGAAAATGGATAAAATAGAGGTGAGTAATTCATTTGGAGAGATTTTAAATGAAATTAATGAAAATGAGATGTGAATTTTTGACAATTGTTTGCTCATTTTTATTGCTACCGAGATAATGTTTTGATTGAAAAATAAAAAAAAGGGGTAATTGCGTTTGGTTAGACATCTGGCAGTATCTTGTGTAGGGGTGGGGGTATGCGATTAGATGGTCTCGTAACTCCGTCTCTCTCGCTCCCACTCAATTTTTCGTATGCCCTTCTATTCTGGCCTCGCTCCCGCAGTGCCATCTTCGTTTCCACGATATTATTTTTTAAAATTCTTTCGCCTCTTTCTTCCCTCTATTCTCTCTCTCTATTCTACTTGAATGCTCACGCATTTTCCGTCTCATTTTCATTCTTCCTTCCCGCTTATTGAGATATTTATAGATCTGCTTTAATCCGATTTAATGTCACTTTGACTTTGGTATTGTTTTCATCATAAATTTATGAAAATTGAATGCACCATTATATTCATGAGGGCCATTAAATTATAGAGTGTAACAGTTTTTTTTTTTCGTCGCTAATAGCCTCCTCTGTTTCGGCGAATAAAATTGTACGTGACGATCGAGCGATTGATTAATTATTCGATTGTTTAATTAATTGCAACATTTTGTTGGCTTTTAATTCGTGAAATTCTCATTTGCAAATATTTCGCTTGGCATTAATCGAGTTCACAATGGAACTGGAAAAAAATAAAAGTGAAGCGAGATATTTTCACGGATTCCGATCCAGAGCGCTCTATTACGTTGAATCCGAGACAATGGCTAGCGAAATTTTCGCAAAGCTCTCGCGACTCGACTCAACTGAATATCACGGTTATTTTATTTCCTTTTTTATGTTTTTTCAATTCAGTAATTACAAAAATTCTATTGTTCCGTTTTTTTATAGTTTTTAATTTTTTTCTCTAGTCTCATCTCGATGTATTGTTAATAAAGTGCATGCAGATGAGTATGATGATTCATCATATCACTCCGAATTCCGATTCCAGTAGTGACTGAGGAAAAAATCACTGGAGAATTGATTTTAATCGAAAACGCAATTCGTCGTCCGCTCACTGGGAAAAATAGATATGGTGTCGATAAATTTATTATAGTGCAGGATTTGTAATTTTTTTTTTCAATTCAATTCAACTGGTAATCACGGTGGAAAACTATTTCAACTGCATTCGTAATGCAACCGCTCGTTCATGTAATACGGGTGTGTGGGTAAGTGTCTCGGACGATTTGTGTTTGTGAGAGCGCGAACGAGTTTCAACTTGATTCCTACACCAACAGAGGGACAGAGACACGTGCATCATTATACGTTGGCTCACACAGTTGTTCTTACATTATTCAATGTTCATTTTTTTTCTTCAATTTTCAAAATTATTCATCTCAAATTTCTCATTCTCTCTCGTGATTTTCATTTGTCACTCTTGTTTCCGGATTTTGTTACATTCATTCTGCAGATGAAATTCGATATTGGAATGGGAACAAGTTTTGAAAATGGAATATGAAAAATGTAATACGCTACCGTACATCATTCGGGGAATTGAACGGAAAAAATTGAATGAATAAAATTTTCGGGCGGAGAGGTATTTTATTTTTCCCGGGGGAATTGGGGCTATGGGTTCCCGGGCGATGCCCAGAAATGTACGAATTTTAATACAGTCAGTGTGCGGATTTATGCTAAAAATTCTAATCGGCAAAATTAGTCAGGTCAGTACAGTCACTGTGGAAAGTCTCGTTGACCGCGATTCACTCGGATAGGAAAGTTATGAAATCCAATCACACGACTACAAATGAAAGAATTAACGATACGTTTTATAATCAATTTTATTCTCCCATTTTCCGGTGTTTACTGAATGAAAATGATTAATTTATATTTTCACTCACGTCCGGAAAATCATGAATTCTGGGCTTCCATAGATTTTATCTCACATGACGTCACGACAATAATAAATCAGTTGGTTTATCTCACTTGATAATAATGTGCTATTATATATATTCATGTTTTCAACTAATTTTCCCCGTTATTATTCCAGTTTTTACTCATTTCGAATTGAAAATTCAATTCCATTTATTTTGAGCAGCAGAATTGGGTTATAAAGCTCCAAAATCACGAATTCTACGATTCGTCACGAACCTTCCTACACATTTTTCACATGTTTTCCATTCGGTTTCTCATTTTCTCCCCTTCTACATTTCGCTCCCTCAGATTCTCCAGCTGTCTCTCTCGCTCGATCTCTTTTTCCCTCGAAAAATCCCTGGAGTTATATACCATAAAAGCCGTTATTATCCCCAGAGCCATAGTAGCCCCATAAATATTTCAGAGAAGAAGAGGAAGAACGAAGAGAGAGATCGAAATTATTATTTCCAAAATTTTTCAGCAACTCATTTTCCCAAGTTTACCATTTTTCGACGATATATTTTTCAATAACCTCGTGTTTATTACCTCAGATAAACACTTTTGTGCTGGAGTTGCATTTACAAACGATTACGATTGCGTAATAGTGGCTAGAAGGTATCTCCCCACCGCGCCAACGCGAGCGTTATGATTAAATACAATTCTAAAATTCAATTACAGTCACGTACCAAAAATGTTCCACTCCAACGAGTTTACTAAATTCTCTTTGTTTTCATTTTCATTCTTTCGGAGTTGATCGACACTCTGACGCAGGTAGGATTGGGAAAATTAATTGGCCACTGAAACAAAGTGTTGTGGTAAAAAATGAAAAGAGACAAATGGAAGGAACGAATCGAAGAGAGTTCAGTGATTAATTCTAATCGTCGACGTGTCATTAATCGAATATGTCGGTAGTAGAAGAAAAATATTGAGACGGAAAATAATGAGCGACAGGGGAGAAAAAAAAATTTGAGAATGCAGAAGCCAACACGAGGCCTAGGGTGTTTATAACGCGATGGTCAAAGTGATACGGGGCATTTAACAACAGTCACAAAATGAGAGTGCTGTATCTGAGTTCACCAGCGATTGAGGAGCACTGGGGAGCATCGAATACTTCGGAAATTTGCCGTAAATTCGTGTTAGTTGGGTTTTTTTGTGCCTCTAGTGGGAGAAATTGCCAAGGACGTGCCAAGGCGAGTTTAGCGTATCCGTAACGGACAGAATTAATAATCAAGTAAATTTTCAAAGAAATGACGATTTACAATGAAATTCAGTAGCGAAGTGGTAAAATAGTTTAAGTTGACTCATCTCCCAGTTGAGTTTTTGAGGAATATTTTCGAATCTAAGGGAGATAGCGAAATTTTCATAATGACATTTGTTGTAGCTCACGATCGGCTCTACAAAAAAGGTTTTAACAACAATTTTGCTATCTCCCTCAGATTCCGAGATATTCATCGAAAACTGGCCGATAGTCAAAATTAACTTGTACCGTTTTACCACTTCGCTACTGAATTTTGTGGGGACATGAGTCTCAAATCTCCTATTGGCCATTTGATTCTCCTCTGAAGAGACATTCCATTTTAATGTTTATGTGGAGCAACTGCAGTGGATGATGAACGTGGCTAACGACGTAAATTCTCATTTCATTCTTGTGAATTAATATCTCCCAGTTGAGTTTTTGACGAATATTTCTGAATCTAAGGGAGATAGCGAAATTTTCGTAACGACATTTGTTGTAGCTCTCGATCGGCTCTACAAAAAAGTTTATAACAGCAATTTTGCTATCGCCCTTAGATTCCGAGATATTCATTGAAAACTGGTCAATAGTCAAAGTTGACTTGTACAGTTTTACCCCTTCGCTACTGAATTAATTATATTTGGCGAATGAACGAGAGTAAATCAGTGAAATATTCATTAAAAAATTTTCATACTCAATTTCGTACTTAATTGAATGCATTTTTTGAATATTCATTCTTCCCCAGATTATGGACGTACTTTTTACTTCGTATTTGCAAAACCACATTTTATGGTTATAATGGGTTCTTGTGTTTCCTTTTTCTGTGAAAATCCAGATGAATACAATCGTCCGGGGCAATTTCTAAGTCGAGAGGGGCGGAGGAATGGGAAGAGCACGTATTGGGGAATAGAGGGGGAGATAGCGCTGAAGCGAGGCGAACCGCGTGGGGGAAGAGTGTGCGTCGAGGTGGGGCACGCATGGTAGCGTCAAGTGGAGGGGTTCGACAAGGAGAGAAACGTTGATAGCGGTGGAAACGCCGATAGCGAGGCTCGATGTAATTACCGCTTGGAATTGGACAAATGGAAAATGCAGTCTATTATTTGATATAATAATATTTTGATGCAAGATACATGTGATGCTCTGGGACTTGAGGAATTTGTGGTTGTAACGCCTCACGGAAAATCACGTCATTATAGGAAAGTTTGCAATTGGCTATTTGCATTTCCAATAGGAAAAAAAAACATTGGTGTTTTAGTCGGAAGCGAACGAGATATTAAAACGATAATGGGGATTTCGTTGAATAGCCGAGATTATATCTCGTTTTTCATTTTATTCGAGGCGGAATTGCTTTTCTGCATTATTTTTCAAAGTCGAAGCGGATCTAGAAAAATTGAAAAATAAAAATTGCTCGGTTGTAGAAAAATCTTTTGACATTTTTCAAGTGAAAAAATTGGTTAACTAATCACTCTAAGAGGCGAAAACAGTTGATATCGCAGCTGTGTCGCGAGAGTACTGATAAGCGGTTGTTTTATCATTAACAGCCATTGGAGATATTCTTCGCCCCGCCGCATATTCTTTTCTTCGTTTTATTTTTTTGTCCCTCCAATCGTTCATTGATTATCCGCAGAAAACAGCATGCAATTTCTTGGCGTAATGCATGCTTCGGAATCCATTTGAATGGGAAACTTTAACAGAGTGGGGAGCAATAATTTTTTAAAGGCTGAATTCTTTCATTGCCTTCTTTTCCTTGTAGATTCAAAAGTTGCTGAGAATCGACGAAATATCTCACGGTTCGTGACTCACGAATACCAAATTTCTAGAAATAAATTTCGTATCAGAGCCAAACGAAACAGTTGAGAA